GGGCCCCGCGGCGAGCCAGGCCACCTTCGCCTTCGGGAAGCCCTCCTTCGACGGGCCGGCCACGTTCGGCAGCGCGGCGCCTGCGGCGGCAGCCAAGCCCTTCACTTTCGGGGCCAGTGGGGCAGCAGGGGCCACCCCCTTCAGTTTTGGGGGGGCCACCACCACCACGGCTGCCCCCTCCTTCGGGACTCCCAGCCAGCCGGCTTTCGGCAGCGGCTCCACCGGCTTCTCCTTCGGCACCACGACCGCTGCCGCTGCTGCGCCGGCCTTCGGCTCCACCACGCAGACCTCCGCCCCCCTGCCCGTCCCCACCCCCAGCTTCTCCTTCGGAGCTGCAGCCAGCGCTCAGGCCAGCGCGCCCCCCGCCAGCCAGGGCGCCCCCCAGCCCACTGCGGGCTTCAGCTTCGGGGCAGGCCTGTCCAGCGCGCAGTTCGCCGCCCCCGCTGCCCCGTCGCCGGCCTTCAGTTTTGGGGCCAGCAACGCCAAGGACAGCAAGCCCGCCTTCGGTGAGTACGCCGAGCGAAGAGCCTCTCAGCCGCAGGTCCAGACTGAGGTGATCCTGCCTGGGGTAACGGTTTTCATTCAGTCAGATCTTGGGGGCGTCGGTTTTTTTATGAAGCTTGTGAAGTGTGCAGTCTGTTACTCCAGAGGACGCTTAAGGGATTGTTGTAGGTTTTCAGGGTTACGATGGTCCTGCTGTGTTTAAGGGCAGCAGTATAACCTGATTTCAGGCAGCGCTGTGTGTAGCTCTCCAGCCCTGTGTCGAGCACATCCAGGTCAAGTGTATTCGTGCTAATATTTGGCATGGGAGGCATGGGATTTCTTTATAAAAGCCAAGCTCTGAGCGTTTGTTTAAAGGCCTCCGGTTTTCCCCAGGGATCAGCCTTGGGAAAGCGGGCTCTAATTTTGGCGGCGGTCAGCCTGCGGGGGCCCCGTGGGCCGGCTGGCTGCAGGGCTGCGTCCACTCGTTGCACCGGCTGGCATGAACCGCTAGCTGGGTTCACCCGCCACGCTGCTGCTGCAGACCGACCCGGCCCAGGTCACCTGTCTGCGCAGAGGAAACGCGATACTTCGTTTCCGTGCGTTTTAGTTTCCGCGTTCTGCGCGGCTCTTAGGGTGTTGGGAGGAGAGAACTCCCTACCGAGAGCTGACGGTAAGCATGGCTGACCTGGCCTGTAGAGTCTCCGTGAAGGGCGTCGGAGCGGAGGGGCGCTGGCACATTCCTTCAAAACTGACACGGGAGATGCTGTTGGTACCCGAAACATATATTTTTTTTGCTAGTTTGAAAAAGCTCGATCTTCGTTCTGCACATTCGGCCATCCCGTTTCGCTGCGCTCTTGGAAACGGAAAGTGCTGGGGGGCCACTGGTAAGGGTCTAGAGCAAGCCCCCTGCCTCTGCTGCTGCTGTGTGTGGTAGCTCAGGAGGCGGAGAGGCCACGGGGAGCCGTGTTCCAGGCTGATGGAAGATGTGCTGTCTTCCCCCAGGGACTCCGACTCCGGCTTTTGGGCAGAGCTCCTCTGGAGGACCCCTCCCCTTTGGGAGCCCTGGCACTCCAGCCCCAGGCTTCGGCGGCCTAACATCCACACCTTTTGGTAAGTGCAGCCCTAGTGCGTCTTCCTGCAGTTCCCGTTGCATCTCTCCAGCACACTGCGTCCTGTGAGCTCTGCCTGTGGATCTGCAGAGCATCAGGCATCATGCAAGTTCACAATCAGTAGACGTCCCTAACCAGATGAACCGTGTTTTCTGGTGCTAGAATTGAGTCTTTAATGTGCGCTTTTGTTGCAGAGGGCATTCCGGTGCTTCATAGGAGTATTGCAGCAGCTGGGAGGGCTCTAGTGAGCCCTGGTGTTAAAAGATGAGCATTTCTAGTGCTTGACGTCCTGTCACCTCTCTCTACGGCAGGCGCCACGCCAGGAGCCTCCTTCTCCATCGGCTCTGGCTCCAAGTCCTCTGCCCGGCAGCGACTGCAGGCTCGGCGCCAGCACCCGAGGAAGAAGTGAGGAAGGAGAGCTGCCAGCGATCTTTTCCGGGCCCTGGCATCAGGACGTCCCAGGCACAGACCCACAGGATGGCTACTTGGCAGAACTGAGCTGCTACCAATGTTGGATTTCCAACTCGACCCCGACGCCCCCACACGCCCCGCGCTGCCTCTCGGGCCTTGCAGAGGTTTCACAGAGGAGCGGGCGGGAGTTTCTGCACCGTCTGTCTCGGCGTCTGGGGTCTTTGGAAAGGGGCCAAGGGGTTGGGGATTTGGCACCGCAAACGATGACACACAGTTTACTTGAACAAAGCGTTTCGAACCCGGACTGGACTCTGTACATGTCTGCCCTGCCTCTCTCACCCTCCACCTTGGTTCTTTCAGAACTGTGCTGTTTTTTTCTTCCGGAGGTGCAGTGAGAGGCCAGTCCCTGTCCTCGTCTCTCCCCTGCTTGGCGAAGGCCTTACCGCAGGGGTGGGGCTCAACCACGGTTCATCCCATCTGCTCAGCTGGAGTGTGAGTTTGTGTTGAAAAGCAAATCCCTGAATAACTGATCTTCAGTGCTGAGAAAGATTGTTTTTCAATTGGATGGATCAGATCCTTGGGACCTGTGAATTGTTTTGTGATGAGATTAGAGTGGCGTGTCACAGCTGGGCAGATGATTTCTTTCTGAGGTGTACAGGGCATTCGAGATCATGCCCGATTCCTAAGGTGGGCGATTCTGGTGAAAGATTGCAGGAACATTGAGTGCTGCCAATTGTTACAGGACCGTGGTCCAAAACTACCCGTTATTTGTTCAGCAGGGTCCCCGGGCGAGGAGTGCTCTGGGACGAGGACAGGCAGGCAGGACGGCAGGGAGCCTGCGCTCATACAGTGGTCAGTTTTATTTCAGGGTGCAGGTGAACATACTTGATCCAACATTTACCCACCTGGTGACTTTAGGTTAATCAGTCTTAAAAAGTTGAGTTTTTGAGCTTTTGCTGCTGGGTGTTGAGGAGGTATTGCGTAGCAGTTTGTCACAGATGCAGGCGGGCCCCTGGGAGAATAGGTCCTCTTCCGTATTGTGGTGTCTTTCGGGAAGGGTGATACAGCTTTGGTAAGACTGCACACCAGGCGTTGATTCTTTTCTACAATGTTCAATGCAAAAAAAAAAAAAGCCCAATCCGAATTTTCCTCTGCTGGGGGGAAATAAAAGGACTGGATGTCTTTTAAGCGGGCGTGGGGCCGAGGCGCAGGCAGTCTGCGGGAGTGCTCCTGCTATAGCCCCTGCTGGTCCAGGCTCGTCCGCGATGATGACGGACGAGGCCATGATGCTTTAGAGGAGCCCGACTTTCTTCTTCACCCGCCCCTGCACTGCTTCGCTGTCTAGACTACCTCTTGTACTTTTGGACAGTTCCTTGCCATTCCCCTTGTGCTGGCGTGTGTGTGTGTGATTTAACGGCACAGTGATTTTATTCGGGTGTTTCTTCTTTGGCATCACCGCTGTTCGTACAAACTCCCTGCAGCGCCTTGTTCCTGCGGTCGCTGGCTGGCCTGCCCCCTGCGTGAGGCACTCGCATGTCACATGGGCTCCCCAGCTGGAGCACAGACGCCAGCGAGACTCCACACGGCGCGTGGTGGACCTGCGGGAGGCAAGGCGGGACACGGCCCTGGACCACAGAGCGGATCTCTTGGGTTCTTTGAAACGCCGATTGGCCCAGCTGTCCGTTAGGTCGAGCTGAAGCAGCATCGTGAAGCGTACAGGTACCTGGAGTTGGTCATCTGCCTTTAAAAACACTTTCTCCTCGTAACACTCAGTGGTTTTGTATTTTTTTAATGACTGATCACCGCTGGTGAAGTGTCCTCGGACGCCGGCGGTTTGCTCTCGGTGAGTCGAGTTTGGAGGAAGGTGCAGTGAGTGGCGGCACATTGGTAGTGCCGGACACAGGGGTGGGGGCAGGGGGCATGAATCGGGAGAAAATTGGGTGTACTGAAGTGTTTTTATTTTGTATTCATTGTAGCTCAGAGGCTACTTCATTTTTTTTCCTTTTTTAAAAAAACCTCAAGTGTCTGTTTTGCGTGCGTAAGGTATTTAAACGGAATGCTTGATCTCGGCAGCTGTCTCGTCTGTGCCGGAGGCCGGGCTTGTGGGCGGTGCCGGGCTGCACCGGGGGTCAGGGGTCAGCAGCCCAAGCCAGGGGGATGTCAGTCTTCAATACCGCTGCTATGTGCTTGTCCTGCCAACAGCGCTGCTGCTGGTTCATACTGTGACTCGGCCTTCATCAAGGGCATCGCACCACTGGAACGGGACTGTCGTTCTCGGCAAGCTTGGAAAGAGTTTTTCCATAATGGTGTGGAAAACTTGAGTGATCTGTTGCAGTAACCTATTGCTAAGAAATTTTGTTTTCGGCTATTTTTTAATCGCTCAGACGGGAAATCTGCTATCTCTCGTTTCTGAATGTGCCGCCTCAGCGGGGTTTGGCGCTTTGTGCTGGCGTTTGTGCGAGAAGGCCTTGTTACCCACTGTGGGCTGCCCAGAAGACACTGTTGTGATATGATTCTTCGGCAGAGGGGATGCAGACCTTACAGGGCCTGTGTGCCTTCAGTCAGTGGGGATATTTCTGGGGTCCTCTTCGGCTGGCGGTAACAGCCCAGAGAGCCATGCAGAGCTGAAGCCCCCTGTGCGTTGGGCTGAAACACTGAAGACACGCGTGAGGCCGGCCTGGGGATCAAGCCGGTCGTGGGAGAGGCTCGCTAGTGGTGTCCACAGGCCTCCTGCTGACCCGCGCGGACAGTGGGGCTCAAACGCCCCCCAGGAGCCTGAGACTGGCCCGGCTGGAGGACGAGCAGGCTGCTGGGTTTGTGACAGAGGGGTATGAATGTGTGTGAGGGGTGATTGGCAAAGCTAAATTCAGGCAATGAAAGGTACAAAATGATAAAAACAATAAAAGCTCTATTTTTGTATTAAAGCAGATTGCCTTCTCTAGAGTTCCTTCAAGCTTGGCTCACTGAGGCAAGATGTTTACAAGGGGGTAGAATTTTTTTTTTCTGGTTATTTTTTTTCCTTCAGTAGTTGGGAGGAGAAAACTTTTTTTTTCTTAAAAGGTGTGCGTCTGTAGATGTTCTACTTTCAAATGTGAATGAGCTCTGGTCTGCAGTTGTGAACTACTGGTGTCTGTGTGTTGTCTGAAAGGGTGAGGGCTCGGCTGCGAGGGCACAGGAGAGCAGCTGCTGCTTCAATCCAAGAGGCTCCTGCCACTGCACAGCCCCGCATGCCGCAGGTCTGGGGCTAAAACACCAATTGTGAGAAGCAGCTGACATGTTAGGGGTACAAGTTTTAGAACTTGCTCTACCGTAATATGTAAACAACACGCAGAGAAATATGCATGTTTGAGCTGCTGCAGTGGATTGTGGTGCAGTGAAGGAGTTGGGCTACTACCAGCTCAGAAGGGCAGGTGCTCCTGGTTTGTCCCAGTCAGAAATGTGGGCAGGTGACCAAATGGGCTCTGCTGCTGCTGCTGCTTCTGAAGAGTCTCTTTTTTTTCACACCCTTTGAGTGAATAATACAGTGGGACCGGGATCTGTCAACCCATCCTGCCCGCCTCTTATTGTAAGTTAGGATTGACCCTGGAGGTTCACCATCTGGGGCTGGTATCAGATCTGGTTAGTCACCCCTCTTTGTAACACGGGCTGAGTCAGGGCTCTCCAACTCAATTCCTGCAGGGACTTGTCCATTCTGTGTTTTTTTACAACCTCTGTAGTCAATGAAACCTAATTCTTTCATAAACAGGAATTCTCCTAGAGTTTTACACAGGACGTTTATTTCAGTTCAGGTACATTATGAAGCCCTCTAGGGCCAAGTTATGCAGCGAAGTAGATCAACAATAGATCTGAGAATGTGAATAAAAAACGAAACGTTGAAGATGACGAGCTCTGCAGCAATTGAGTTTGAGATCCCTGGTTTAGCGGTTTGGGTTTTAACTTCGTACATAAGGCATTCCTACACTGGACTCCTGGAGTGGAACTAGACGGGGAAAATGTCAGTTTGATTCTTCAGAAGAATAAATACCATTTTTAGTTTAAGCTTCCATTATCGGAGATCATTTTATTAGCGTAGCTATGTGTGCTGGTAGTTTTCAAAATGTGAGCACAAACAGTTGATTTCCACATGGTAGGCTGTGCTAGTTCACTGCATATATGATTTTCCCTAGACCTGTTTGACCTCTCCCCATCCTGATCCAAAAAACCAGCCCTCCCCTGTGGTTAAGATTAGCTTTGTAAATAAGTAGAAGTGTGGTGCCGATGACTGATGTCTGTCTGCCCAAGGGAGTCTTGCTTTTAATCGAGGTAGCCAAAGTTGAAAGGCTTTCATTTTTATCCCACGTGTTCCAGTGGTCTATTTTTTATTTGCTTAATTGTAGAATAGGACAAATAGGACTGATTCAAATGTCATAGAGGGAAGCTTTCCTTCCTCTCAATCATGCGGCGAGCGGTGCAGCACAGTTCCTATAAAACAAGATGCAAAACACTTCTACATCCGATGCCAGTCCTTGGTCTTACCCATTTAAATGGCACTTCTCACAAGGTTTGAAAGCTGGATTTCCTTGGGACGCGAGCATGAGCCTTTTCTTCCTGTCTGCGCAGATGTACGTATGTTTGTGTGGCTCTGTGCGGTTTTCCTTGGAATTCGTTTTTCTATCATTCCTCTTGGGATTGTGGAAAAGGAGAATGAATGTGCAGACCTGGGCAGTGTAATATATTTTCTCTCTGCTCATTATAATGTCATTAAAAATTAAATGGTTTTAAATAAAACTGGTGTGCTGGTGTGTGTGGTTGGATTAACAGTGGAGGGGTTCATATGTTCACAAAGGTGATTATTTTTCCAGCAGGCTTCAGTTCACTGTATTGCAGTCATTGATGCATACAGGGAGACACTTGCAATACAGTACAGGTTATAGACCAGTGTATCATGGCAGGGCGATTTCACTGTAGTTTAAGAGCGCTAGGGGAAGTAACTCTGGCAGTCATAACTAACACATAGAAACCCACTTGGGATGGAATATGATCCTTCCTCAACCCCGGTCCAGTGGCAAGCGCTGCTCTGTACATTCCTGTGCTGGGTATTGATTAGTCAAAATCTTTCTTCTACACAGAAATAATATGCCTTTTTTTCTAGTATTAAATTGCTCAAAAATCAGTCATTTACCTTTTTAATTGTCACAGTGTTCGACAGGAGGATAGATGGCATCTCTGTTTTTCCCGACCCCTGAGCCCAGACCAAACCCTTTGCTATTCAGTGAGACCCATGTGCTGTAAAGTACTTAGAGCTGCAAAAAATGGTGGTTCCTGGTCCTGGAGCACTGCTGTTGGCTTGTTTTCATTCCAGCTGAGCTCTGAATCTCCCGAGACAATTGATTTGCCTGCTTGTTTAGACTTAAAATTAACCTCTTTCAGTCAGACTAGCGTGTTAAAGATGGACTAGTTCATGTTTGAACTACCAACAGTTTCAGCACACAAAACCATACACAGTCTCTGCTAAAGTTCCTTGCTGTTATTTCAGACAAAACATGTATTGATCAGCTGATGAGGGACAGTGGGTCAGACACGTCCACCGGGTAATTTTCCTGCTGTGACACTTCAGGCAACTCGTCCCAATAAGGGCAGTTCTGAAGCCCAGAAATCAGTACAGGGTTGATGCCAATTTCAAATCCCCATTGACCTTTTAAGAGCCGAAAGCAAGTTTACACATGGAAAGTGATTAGGCTGTGATTTAAGATCCTAGCAGGAGAAAGTCGGGAGATTGTTCCTCCAGGACCTGGGCTGGTCAGTCTGTCTCACTGGGCCTCCAGCCCCGATGCTGAGGAGCTGCTTCCTTGAGCGCCAACGTCATCACAGACTGGACACCTCTCTCAGCCAAGGGCTCAGTCACCCTGTGCTGCAGGTCTCCTCTTCTTCTTCCTCTTCCTCCTGGTCTTCGCGCCCACTGTCTGTGTCTCGGCGGCGGCGGCACGCTGCTGGGGCTCCTCTCCGGCCTCGCTGTCTGGGGGCGCTGCTGACGACGTCACAGAGGCAGCAGGGCTGGAAGACAAAAATGTGCAGAAGCTCTTTGTCCCAGGAATCTGAACCCCCACTGTGTTCAGGCTCATTATGTCTTACTGTCTTTCCTACTGGCAGTCACAATACCAGTGCTAAGGTGGTTTCTACTACCGCCTGAGAATTCATAGTGGACTTGGTTCTGTTCTGCATGTACGAAGCCCTGGACTAGTTACAGATTACTGCACGAGCCGAGCTATCAATCCGAGATCCCAGTCCTGGTCGTCTCGTTCCTAACTGCATAACCTCTGTAGCCAGTTAATAGAAACCCCGTCTTCCTTCATGTTCAAAGTTGAATATTCCCATAAGTGTTTTAAACACTATATGTTTTGGGTTCAAAGTCCATGGAATCGAAGGTTCCCTCAGTGTAGTCTTGCCTTTCTACCAGCACAGGAACTGGCCTGGCTCTGGGGCTCTTTCCTGCTTTCTTCTCCCCCTCCCCCCTCCAGGCTCCAGCCTGCTCTTTAAAGGTCTAGGCTGGGCCCAATAATTATTAATGCACTTCAGGTGCAACTCGAATGACCCGATTACCCTCCTCAATTAACTGCAATATCTTACTGATACCTGGAACACAATTTGTGGAGGATAATTCAACCAGTTCACCACTGTTTGCAGTGGCTGGAGTCACAGCCAGCAGGAAACAGGTGGGGGTCCAGGGGGTACTCACAGAGAGCAGCGGCCCTGCTCCTCCTGCTCCTCCCCGGGGCCCCGGCGCTCCAGCATAGCCACGAAGAAGCCGTGGGTGAGCGTCTCGCTGGGGCTGGCGCGCAGGCACTGGCTCAGGGGGGCGTGGCCACGCTCCTGCCAGCTGGGCAGCAGCGGCACCAGCCTGCGGGCACAGAGGCGATTCAGACAGCAGCCCTAAACCTCCTCAAACAGGCAAGCGTCTCCCTGCCACTGATACTGTTTACTGGAGATGCTAGACGAGAACTGTGTTACATCAAAGAGAAAATTAACAATTTTGTGCTGATATTGCATATAAATTAAATATTTGATGCTCCAAATGTGTGATCAGTTATTTTTCCTCGGGGCAGAAAACATCCGAGGGTCACGTTCTGTCCCCGTCTTGCTCGGCGAGAGCCCCAGGAAGGAGAGGGGACCCCGACTCGCCTGTAGCTGGCGCCGTGCTCCTGCAGGCAGGCCTGGACGACCTCCTCGTTCTCCTGGGCGTGCGTGGAGCAGGTGGAGTAGACGAGGCGCCGCAGGCTGGGGAAGCGGAGGGCGTGGCGCAGGCAGCGCAGCTGGAAGCCCGCCAGGGCCTGCAGTCGGCGCTCCTCCTCCTCCGGGGCCACGCGCTCGCCCCGCCGACCGGCCATCCCTGCGCACATGGAGACGGTCAGCCGCGGGCCAGGGGAGTCTCGCCAGCGCGCCCGCGGTCAGCAGGACGGGCTCTCCTCACCTGACCCGCTGCAGGACGGGTCCAGCAGGAGGTACTCCACCCGGCCGTACTTGGGGTCATCGGGGTCCACCTTCAGGAAGTCCTGAGCGGCCAGCTCCTGACACGTGACCCCCGCCCGCAGCAGCAGGGTGCTCATGGTGGCCAGGCGCTTGGGGTCCAGGTCGAAAGCGAACAGCTTCCTTTCCCAGAAAGGCAGAGAAAACAGTCAACAGCTGCAGTAAAAACTCCCACAACTTTATCTTACTGTGGGATTTACAGTTTGTTCAGGTACCACGTCCTTCATTACTGTACATGCTACACATAAACTCCCATGGTAAAACACGATCTGCACTCGGACGGCGGCAGAGGAAAGACCCTTTCCGCACCCCTTGTTTCCCAGCAGCGCCGCCAGGTGGCTGGTCTTGTTCCCAGGGGCGGCGCAGGCGTCCAGGACGTGCGCCCCAGGAGGGGGCTGCAGGAGGCAGGCGGGGAGGCAGCTGGCCTGCGGGGACAAGACACAGACGGGCGAGATCAGCCTCCTCCGCCTCCGAGCAGCCTGCCTTCTTCCAGAGCCGAGGGCACAGGTGAACACTAGCAGCTCTGGGAGGTGCAGGCTGGGTGTCTTAATAATAATAATAATAATAATATTGCTTACACTTATATAGCGCTTTTCTGGACACTCCACTCAAAGCGCTTTACAGGTAATGGGGACTCCCCTCCACCACCACCAATGTGCAGCATCCACCTGGATGATGCGACGGCAGCCATAGTGCGCCAGAACGCTCACCACACATCAGCTATCAGTGGGGAGGAGAGCAGAGTAATGTAGCCAATTCATAGTCTTGCTCATGATCAGAGCAAATTGGCTCGTTAACCCCCCTGCACTACACACAGCGAAATGATCCAGTTGACCGCAGGAAACTTCCAACTCTTACGGTGTAAAATACTTTTTATTTTTACATGACTGCCTATATACTGCGGTTTGTCCTCATGCTGCATTTAGGTGGGTGGCTATAAGTCTGTCCATTTAACAGACAGAACTACTTGAACAAGAAACAATATTCTGTATTAAATACATTTTTTTCAGGTCCATGTATAAGACAGAGAAAAGGTCATCTCACTTGCTTATTACTTTCCTTTGCTGAACTGGACCAAAAGCACACATGTTGGAGACAAACTAGTCAAAACAGGTCTACTCTTCTTCCGGATGCCTCTCACCTTGTCCTGCAGGATGATGTGTCCTGCCTGGTACAGGAAGTGGGAGTGGAAGTCGGTTCTGGGAGGAAAGACGAGCAGCTCTGGGAGGTGAAGGTCACCGATGAAATTCTTCCCGGAGAGCCTGCGCAAATCCTCTAGTCTGCAACACAAGTTGCACAAGTGTTGAATGAACTGGTTGAATGAACTGGTAAACTGATCTACTGGTAAGCAAGCCCCCCCCACCGACTTTTTGAATTGTTCCCCGTGACTAGTAACTCCCAAAAATCACTTCCTCTTCAAACTCTGACAGCCATTATTTTCCCTTGCTCATCAGAAGTATGATTACTCTTCATGCATCATGCTGAAGAAGACATAAGCACCAAACTGCACTGAAAACAGGAAGGCGGCTTCGCGGGCGCTGGGGCTCTTAATGCACAACCTCCCACCTGCTGGCCTGACCCAAGTACGAGAAACCATCTCTCTTCAAGTAGTCAATCACATCCTCCACATTGGTCTTCAGTGTGTTCACACGCACGTAGCGCGGCACCACATCCTCTGCAGAGAAAGCAAACTCATTTTCACAATTCAGCATCACCTGAACACTTTAACTAATGAAACACAGCCACGTTCTCGATCGACGTTATTTCTTCGATCTTGGAGCCAGAAGACCGAGGGGAAGAGCAGTTCAAATTCTGAAAGAGCCTGGAAGTAATCAGCCAGCAGGACTGCGTCACTCCCCAGAGTGAAACGTGGTTATGTGCAGTTAGGACGGAAACCAGGAAACACGTCTTGGCAGAAAGGCTTGGAGGCTTGTGACTGCTCGTGAACACTAAGCCGACCTTCTCCCAGTCTTCTCCGCTCCCCCCAGCCCGGGAGTGTGCCCGCCACACCACCTACCCGCCGCGTCCCGGCCGGCGGCGCAGAGCAGGTCCTCGTTGCGGCAGACCTTCCTCCTGACCTTCAGCCTGGCCAGCGCAGCCTGCAGCCGAGGCTGCTGGCGTAGGAGCAGGACCTTCCAGCTGCCTCCACACTTGAGCCCGCGGCCGAACAGCAGGTCGTACACCAGCACCTAGAGCAGAGAGACGGGCTCACTCAGGCCCAGCGCTGCGAGACGCCTGGGCCTGGAGAAGGAAGCCGCTACGCCAGGGAGAAGCTACAGAAGCCAGCAGGGCTGAGAGGCTGTTACCTTGGCAACGTGCATCTTCAGCTTCTTCTCCTTGAGCAGGCCTGTGCTGCTGATGATCTCCTCGAGCACAGCGGAGTACTTCAGCGTCTCGCTGACCAGCGCGAAGAGCTGCTTGATGTTCTGGGAGACAATAAAAAAAAAAACAAGGTGTGACTAGCACTTTGCTTTCTGGAAAGGTCCACCCAGTACTACTTCATACTAAATTAATTGCTTACACTTCTATAGCTCTTTTCTGGACACTCCACTTTACAGGTCATGGGGATCCCCTCCACCACCACCAGTGTGCAGCCCCACCTGGATGATGCTCCAGTCCGCTCACACACAGCAGCTCTCAGTGGGGAGGAGAGCAGCGTGATGAAGCCAGCTCACAGACGGGGATTATTAGAAACGCCCTGGGATTTTTAATGACCACAGAGAGTCAGGACCTCGGTTTTACGTCTCATCCGAAGGGCAGCGCCTGTTTCCAGTATAGTGTCCCCGTCACTATACTGGGGCATTAGGACCCACATGGACCGCAGGGTGAGCGCCCCCTGCTGGCCCCACTAACACCTCTTCCAGCAGCAACCTTAGTGTTTCCCAGGAGGTCTCCCCTCCAGGTACAGACCAGGCCCACACCCGCTGGGCTTCAGTGGGCTGTGAGCTGTGAGCTGCAGGGTGACATGACTGCTGGCTAGAATACTGCAACAGCGCCTGGAATCCGAAAAGGGTCGCAATGCTGGACAGCCGGAGTCCTGCTCTCGTCACTGCGAGAAGGCTTATTCTAGTTTATAAGGGAGAGCAGCTGTCTGCTGTGGGCATCTGCTCCGAAGCGTTAACAGAGGTAGAAAATAGTATCTTATTCGCCCCACGAATGTGAACCTCATCGGCGGAACAGTTCGAGCGACGGTACCTGGAACTGGCTGTTGTACACCAGGGTCTTCACAGAGCTCTCCTTCCGCTCCGCTTTCTCAAGAACCTCGGCGGCTTTCACGTACAGGGCCATCGCCGTCGGCTTCACGACAAACCTACCTATAATTCTAAATGTTTTATTTTATACTCGAAAAGAGCTTCATAGCTGTCGAACACACACATCAATACCCTCCCAAATCCCAAAACGTGTTGCCTTCAGCGACGCCACCACGTTGCTCCCCCGACTTAAACTCGTTGACGGAGGGCTGTAAAACGTAAACTAACGTGCGACGCCTCAGCTCACTTTACAGCAGTTCATGTTAGCCATTACCATGGAGACACGTGCGCGTGCATGCCCACCCTACTTGTGGACGTGCCCGCGCAGGACCTTGGCTTATAGCGTGGACGTGCCTTTACGTGCTCGTTCCTTCCGGAGTTACGCTAACGTGGCAGAACCCGGGTGATTGAAGATGGAGCTGGCTGCGCTGGTCGCCGTCTCCGTGCTGATCGGAGCCCTGGTGCTGCTGGTCGCCGTGGCCCTGGGCAAGCAGCGAGGCGGCCCGAAGGAGGAGGCCGAGCCGAGGGAGGACGCGGCCGGTGAGGCGCCGGGGCGGCCCGGGGGGGTGTCTGTAGTTTGAAAGTTGTCGGTGGAGCGGCGTTGCCGCACGCTGCTCGCTAGGCGGCGCTGTTTCCTACGGGCGGCAGCGCCGCGCTGGACGCCAGAGGCGCCTCGGAGGCGCGGCGAGCTGGGACCGCTGTGCGCCACACGTGTAGCGCCCTCTGTCGGGGAGGAGGACGGGGATACCGGGGCGCACTTGCAGTAACAGAGGGGTCAATGTGCGTTTCGGAAAGCGGGCGTGCAAGAGAGTCTGTCTGGCACAAAGATGCGCAGCTTTTCTTTTTGGTTTCTTTTTTCCCCTTTTATTAATCTAACAACACCTGCCGTGTTTCATCTGCTCTCGCTGTCTCTCAGGGTGTCCGGTACTCGCTGCGATAACTAGAAATAGTTTACTGCTTTTCTAAAACGAGGATTTAAAAGGACAAATAGAAGAAGATGCAAAAATAGATATTTTTTCCGTCACATTAACTGTCATGGGAAAAAGCAGGGCTTCAAGGCTGAGCACAGAGACGCCTCTCTCTGACCCCAGTCTCTGACATTTGCTTAAACTTAGTGTCCTAATGCAATCTTAAAAGGCGTAATACAAATCGATGTTAGACAATACGAGTTCATAAGAAATAAGAAGGGAGTTATTTTAGTCGCAAGTTAGAAAACGATCAAAAACACTCTTTGGTTTTATATTTGAGCTGAAGGTCAGAGGTTGTCTTCCTCTCCCAGTCCTGCTGAGGTGACTGACAGAAATATGTTCTAATCAATGTAGAAATAGTGGTGATTTAGTGTCTACCTGTGTGGGGGATTTTCATAACACCTCATTCTTCCAGGTGAAAGTGTTTAGGCACACATCGCCTTTTGAATTCCGTTTACCTGGATCTTGTTCAGTAATGTGCCCGTAGCTCACGGCCTGGTGATGCAGGTGATGATGACATCACGGCTCGGGCCGTTGACCCATGGGGTCCTTCTCAGATTTCTCGAGCTGCAGCTGGCTCATGTACGGACTCGATGCAGAGACACTGCAGAGCAACCGTTGCTGTAAAGCTGTTCAGGTCCTGCTGCAAATTCCAGACAGAGAAGATAACTGATCGTGGGAACTTCACTGTAAAGCCAGAATGACCCCAGCCTGATGCTGTGCTGTTTTAGGAGCCTGCAGCTCTGGAGAGCTGGACGTGATCTCGTTGCGTTGTTGTTTCGCTGGTTCTGATCGCTCCGCAGGGCTGACATCTTTCCTCTCTCTCTCGCCCCTGGTGCTGAACCTTCCAGCAGAGAAAGCGGAGGGAGAGAAGCACTGCGCCTCGAAAAGGCTGAAGCAGCAACCGCGCCCCCGCAAGGAGAGGCCGCAGCAGCACAGTTTCTCGCACCCGCTCCTGGCGTCCTCGCTGAAGGTACCTGTGCCGGCACTGGAGCAGACGGGAACCGGGTCAGGGCCACTGCTTGATCACAGACGGGCTCTCCTGTGTGGCGCCTGGGCCGCTCCGACGGGCAGAGCCATCTGTTCCAGTGAAAGGAGGAGGAATGCTATCGCACCAGTAGATAAGCACCTCCCGAGCACACAAAGATTTCCCACGCACCCCTGCTGTAACAGCAGCCTGCCGGCCGAGCATCTGTGTCAGGCCATACATTTGCGCAGCGGTCTTCTCCGTTTTGTGCTCGACCCGTCGTCGCGCTGCAGGGCTTGGTGATGGGGTTGTGTGTCACGGGCTGGAGCAGAGCAGCAGTGAGCCCGGGCGGTGCTGTTGGGGCCGAGCCGGGCCGAGCCGGGCCGAGCTGGCTACCTCTGTCTTTCTCCTCCTGCCCAGGGGCACAGTGGGAACGTGACCTGCCTGGACTTCAGCAGCAACGGGAAGTACCTGGCCTCCTGCGCCGACGACCGCACCGTCCGCATCTGGAGCACCAAGGACTTCGCGGACCGGGACCACCGCTGCCTGCGGGCCAACGTGGAGCTGGACCACGCCACGCTGGTCAGCTTCAGCCCGGACTCCCGGTAGGCCACGCGGGGCTATGGGAGTCCAGCACACTGACGAGAGGACTCTGTCAGGCCTGTCTGATAGCTGCTCATCCAGCCCTGTCTGGAAAGAAGCCTGGGAGCCGGCTTCAAACACATGGCTGGAGAACTTGTTCCATACTCCCACAATCCTTGGTGTAAAGAAGTGCCTCCTGTTTTCAGTTTTGACTTCACATAGTTTCCTGTGGTGCCCTGTGTGCCGTGTTTCACAGTTCAGTCTGCAGAAATCCTCTGTGCTGCGTTTGTCAGGGCGTTTACTGAATACTTGTGTCAGGTGCCTTGAGTGTCTGTTCAAGATTGAAAAGGTTTAGTTTCTTCAGTAATGTAGGACGTTACTAAACCCTGGAATATATCTGATAGCTCTGTTCAGGATGGATTCCAGAGCAGCAATATCTTTTCTATAAATGGTGATTGAAATTGTACACAGTATAATAGATGAAGCTGTACTAGTGTATTAGACAGTTTTAGCATAACATCCCTTAAATTAAATTTATGCTTTTAGCTGTATGACCTAACGTTTTACTCCATTCAGCGAGAATACCTCCGTAAGTACGTTAAAAGTTATCTGCCAGGTTTTTGCCCAGCCGTGAGTTTTATCTGCTTCATGTTTGATTTTCATCTCCCTCTTCTGCAGTGTTTGCCAGTCCTTCTTGCTAGACCAGTGTTTCCAATAGCCCGAGCGCAGGCAGATAAGGAGGTGCAGGCAGGAGCACACAGACGCAGGAATGTACACTCATGCTCACGCAGCAGATGCAGATTTTCATATATATAGTGACTCACATGGGGACTCCATCACGTGCTCCGGTCTGGCCACAAAGGCCTGGATATTCAGTCCAACAGTCAATACGCCTGCCGCTCAGCCTGATGGGAAGACTTGTGTTTGTGCAGGGCCTTCATCACCTGGCTGGCGAGCGCAGAAACCATCCGCGTCTTCAAGATGCTGAAAAAGGAGGACGGCTCTATCAGTTTCAGCGCAGCTCCTGAGGACTTCCCTCAGAAGCACAAGGCGCCCGTCATCAACATCGGCATCGCAGAGACGGGTACGAAGTCCTGGGCTCTCCTGTGCACAGCTCTGCCCCGGATCCATACGGCAGACTTGTCCCTCTCTGTCCCTCTCTGTCCCTCAGCTTTCTCACAGTGGCCCAGAGGACCGGGTGTCCTAATGGGATTCAGAGCGATTGATGAATCATTGTCCTTGATTGTCTGTTCTTAGTTACAGCCTCTTTGTTGGTCTATGAGCATGAAACCAAACCTGAATAAGATAAATATTTTTATTTTTTAGTTAATATTTTGGCTTGGTTGTGTAAATAATTACAATGTGAGTGGGTGACATTGACAGGGGAAACTTTTTCATTAGTGTTCTGTTTTAAAGAAAAGAAAATACTGTAATACAAATTGAGAGTCCAAACTGGGTGAAATATCCAGGAGTAAAACTCATCATGGCTGTGATTTCTGCTTTATCCACTCGGCTGACGAGAGTGAGGGCAGGGACTGTGAAGTTGCTGAGCTGGTTTTGTTTGCCTCAACAGTTTGTTTACACTTTATTTTCACTTCTCTTAAACACTTTTGACCCTTAAGGTCTGGAAAGAGAGATGCAATTAAAAAGTAGAAATCATGGAAGAGCAGAACTCAGAGTGGGTGTTGTATTGAGTATTTTTCTTACTTTACAAAATGCTATTTAATGGTTATGGTGTGTGGAGCATCTGTATTAGAGCTTTTACTGAGAACCCAGTGACATCAGTCACACATAAAACAGTGGTGCTGTTGGCAACCCCTTGTTAAAATAACCTCTGTGAGCGGTCTGCTTCTCCAGAACACAGCCCTGACATTGTGAGAGAATTTAACACTGACGTTTGACATGAACCAGGCACGTGCTGTCTGCAGGACTGCCCCCATGAGGGCCTGACATCCCTTCTGTCCCATCGTGTGTTTTCCTGCTCCAGGCAAGTTCATCATGACAGCCTCCAGTGACACCACCATCCTGATCTGGGACCTGAAGGGGGAGGTCCTGGCCACTATCAACACCAACCAGATGACCAACTCTTATGCCACCATCTCTCCCTGTGGCAGGTCAGTACCCCGCTGCCCCACCCCCAGCACCCCAACACACCCACCCCGAGTAACCCCAGCTGTGCCTCTTTCTGTAAACAGCTCCGTCAGTCTCGCGTGACCATTGAAGTTCTGAGTCCAGAACTAAAGGTTTCAAAGTGGTAAGGACACTCGTTGGTTTGTCTGAGGAAGGCTGTAATGAGGAGAAGACTCTGGGTGGCAGATGGGCTGAGACAGGTCTCCGTGGCCGTCTCAGAGCTCCTGCTGACACCTGGTAGAACCGGGCCCGTGCGGTTCAGCCCACACGGTACCGCCCCGGTGCTGCTGTGCTGCGGGGACCTCGTGTTGGCCCAGCGAGTGTGAACCTGTGCTCTCGCTCACGGTTGTGCGGCAGGTTCGTGGCGTCCTGCGGCTTCACCCCGGACGTGAAGGTGTGGGAGGTGTGCTTCGGAAAGATGGGCGACTTCAGGGAAGTGGTCCGAGCCTTCGACCTGAAGGGCCACTCGGCTGGAGTCTATTCCTTCGCCTTCTCCAACGACTCGCGCAGGTAGGGAGTCGGAGAGCAGCTGAGAGCACTTCTGTCAGGGACTGAAATGTTTTCCTGCATGACTGGCCTGACTCTAAAGGTCTTGAGCTGGAGCCCCCAGGTGGTGCAGGCTGGGCTCCCTGATTCTCTCGTGGGGAGTCTGAGCTGCGTCACCCCATCAGCGGGTTGTGACTGGGGGATCCCCCAGTGGGGCACACAGCTGGCAGAGCTGCCCGGGGGCAAGATGAGAACACCGATTCCTGCTGCTCCTGTATTACTGAGCGAGTAGGAACTTAAAAAGACAGTAAAAAGCTCTCGATCTTAAGTGGATGGTATGTTGTACAATTTGTTGTAATTTGATGTTTAAATATTCTTCAGTGATGTATAAGAGGTGGGTATTGTGTGAGGTTCAGGTATCCTGTCCTGCCCCTCAGAGGGCCTTTGGGAGAAGCGCAGTATATCTCCTAGCTTATTAATACTCCTTAGTCATGGTGAGCCACGGCCTTACGGCTTTTCTTTTTTTCTAAAGGTCCTTTATATCCCCAAACATATTACTTATTACCCCATGTGAGAATGTTGAATTCACCACCACCAATAACCTGATAAGACTATTTACAAATAATGGCGGCCTCTAGTGGAGGCCAGCTGCTATGACAGCCCCTTGCAAGACTTGGCTGCCAAGGAGAGGACGTCACTTGTCATCTCCTGATTGGGCGTCTGCCTAAAGAGCACTTCCCTCGGGCACCGGGTCTGCTCTGGGTTTAACCAGGCACAGCAGGGACTGTTAGTGCCTTGCGGTGGTTCGTCTGGACTCGACTGGAGCTTCTGTTGTTGGCCCCACCTGCAGGATGGCCACGGTGTCCAAAGACGGGACGTGGAAGCTGTGGGACACGGACGTGGAGTACAAGAAGCAGCAGGACCCCTACCTGCTGCGGACCGGCCAGTGCCAGGTGGCCGAGCCCTGCCGGATCGCCCTGTCCCCCGACGCCCGCGTGGCCGCCATCTCCAGCGGCTGCAACGTGGCGCTGTACAGCGCGGCCGCGGGCGAGCTGGAGGAGGAGCTGCAGGGCGTGCACAGCGAGGAGATCGCAGACATGCGCTTCGACATCAACAGCCGCTTCCTGCTCACCTGCGGCGACCGGGCTATCCGGGTCTTCCACAACGCGCCGGGCCACCGGGCCGCCGTGCGCGAGATGCAGGCCATGCTGAAGAACGCCTCCAACGAGGCCATGCGCCAGAGACTGCAGCTGCAGATCCAGGAGGCCCAGGCCGCGCTGGACAGTGTGTGCACCCCCAAGGACTGAGGGGTCCGAGGGGTCCGGCCCCAGCCTGGCTGTCCCCCCTCCCCCCCCCTCAAGAAAGGAACTGCAGTGTCTTTGCCTTGCGTTTGGGCTTGGGGTTGTGTGCATCCTGGTTTTAAAAAAAAAGGTTTGTAATAAAATGTGCATGGAGCTCAGTGCTGCTGCTCCAACAGACCTGCTGGCTGGTAATGGTCACTGCTCCTCCTCATGAGCCCTGCAGGACGCAGGTGGTGGGGTCTGACCCCTGTGTCCCGACCCACAGCCTCCGCTCCGGCGCCTTGAGCTTGTAGCGGGCGGCCTGACGGCAGGCGTGTTCGATGATGCCTGTAGGTTTTTTTGCACCGCAGTTCAACTCGCAGGGAGCCACCAGTCAGAAGAAGAATTTCAAGTCTGTTGTAAAAAGCAGTGATGTCTGCTGCTAGATTTAACATTGTTTATAAGTGACTGCTTCTCCACATCAACATGGAAATTATTTAAAAATCAAAGGCACGTCTGGGGTCAGTAGTTGTTTGCTGAACCAGTCAGTTTCTGGGCCCAAGGGAGCATTGTGCGCCCTCTAGTGCCAGAGTATATTGATTGAAATCATGGATTTGGGCTCTTTGGTGTCAAGCGATTAGCGATCATAGGTCTAGGTCTAGATTAGGTCTAGAATGATATGAAGACTGATTTTACACATTAAAGAGCTATTGCCCTTTGTAAAGTTGGCTCATGACAATGAGTCTGTTTACAAGTGCTTGTAAAGGCACCATATTGATCTTACTTCTTTGACATTTCTGAGGCTGTAGCAACGGCCACAGTGGTTTCGGGAGGGAAAAGCTGTTCAGATACAGACAGGGATACGAGCTCATATCTCACAACGTGAAATGAACACGGAAAAGATGTGATCAGTGTCTCACTAAACAGAAATAAAGATAAAAAATAAATAACACATGGAAAAGGCATGCAGTGATTAAAAGCCTGACTGAACAGGTAAGTATTTAGATTTCAAAACTGTAAAATAGTTCGCAGCTCTCCTGTTGATGGGGAGTGAGGCCCAGAGCTGTGGCGCAGGGCGGCTGAGACACTTGTACCTGGAAGAAGGGCCTGAAGATGCTTCTCGGAGTAAAGGCCTGCGTGTGCCAGGGGAGTAGGGAGAGGTGCGCTGTGCTGGGGGGATGGGGGGTGTTGGGGTGCTGGTAATGGGGAGCCAGTGAGGACGTGTCAGAATTGGGGCGGTGTGATCACGTAGGCTCCAACAGGCTAGAGAGCGAGCGGCCGAGCTTGTTTAGGAGCTGGTGGGGAGACTCTGGAAAGACTGTTGACATTCATCTGTCCAGCTGAGCTGTGAAGAAGTCTCTGATCAGGGTTTCTGCAGCTGCGTGATCAAGGAAGACCGAGTGCAGACACTGTTTCTGAGCAGAAAGTACAAGACTTCACAGGTGCCTTTAAATGAGCATCCAAAACATTTCATTAGAATTTCATAAAATACCATGTATCTTCCCTGGAATTTATGCACACACATCTCCTCAGTTTTAGTCAAATTTAAATGGGGGGAACTGGGCCCTCTTCGTGTGGGGGGAGAGGCGATGAGGCCAGGCCAGCTGGGTCTCCAGAGCACGCGAGCCAATCCTTCACCCTTTTCTGCCTGCATTATTTTCACAGCAGGGTCACAGGGGAGTCAAGAGTCTGTCCCAGCAAGCAACGGGCCCAAGGCAGGGTCCACCCTGGACAGGACACACACACACCAGGGGCAGTATTCCCAGAAGCCAATTAACCTACCTGTTTGTATTTAGATATTGGAGGGAAACTGGAGCACCCAGAGGAAACCCACACAAACCCAGGGAGAACGTGCAAACACAACACAGACAGCACCCCAGGGCCCCAGCAGTGCGAGGCAGCAATTCTAACAACTGTGCCACCATACTCCTGTCCTTCCACATGCACTATGATGACAACAACAATAACACTAACACTGATGATAAGGAACGAGTGAAGGTTTATTCCGTGCTCAGAAGAGAGAAACACAGCGCTGCTCCTCGCGCGCACGCGTCAGGCGGACCACGTGGGGAGCCGGGCGGGTGCGGAGTGGCGCGCGCGCGCGCGCGTGCGGGGGGGCGGGGAGGGGGGGAGAGAAGTCTCGCGAGGTTAAAAAACCGGACGGCGAGACCCATTCGGTCGGATTGGCGACAAGAGGAAAAATATAAAAACCTGAGCCCCGAAATAAGATGTCAGGCCGCTCGGTTCGGGCCGAGACCCGGAGCCGCGCCAAGGATGACATTAAGAAGGTGATGGCGGCCATAGAGAGGGTCCGGCGATGGTGAGTGTGAGGGAAGAGCGCAGGAAGAAAAGATCGAGCAAACAATCCTGTAAGAGAAACTTCGGGGACGAGGAGCAGGCGGGGCGGCGGCGGTGACTGGCGGGAGAGTGACGGGGCTGCTGGCCTATCGCTGGCCGGGAGAGCCGGTCTCCTTGGAGACGGGGGCGGGGCGGTGGCGGAGGTGGGATGAGTAGCCGAGAGCTGATTGGCAGGCGCGGACGGGTGGGCGGGCGCCGCTGCGGTGACTGACAGCGGCGTGTGCCGAAATTACCGAAGGGTATCGGCAATTCAGCCGAAACGAGGAAATAATGTATTTTCCCGTATCCTAGCTCGAACAGGTCTGCGACAGGCCGCGCCGCCGGGAGCCGTGCCTTCAGTCGAGTGCACAGGGAGAAGGTGGGGGAATGTGTGCGGAGTTGGCTGTTAGTTAATACCCCAGGGAACTAGAAGTTTGAGGGTGAATTCTTTCAGACGTTAAAGCTGGGGATGGAACAGGGGTTTGCCTGAAAATAATGCCGAGTTTGCGAAAGGGGCAAGAACGGCGCCAACTGCAGGGCGCAGGAAACTGGTGCTGTTCTGTTACAGACCGAGTAACGAAATAAATGAACTGAAAGTTCGTCAGATATTTCCTCCTCCCCCACACGCAGTGATTGATTCCTTGAAAGATATGAGTGTGGTCAGTCTGGGCGGTGTGGTGTATATCCCACAATGCGGTGCTCCGGAGGCATGAGCAGGGGTACCGTGTGACACGGACACGGGTGGCTTCGTGCAGCCTGAGGAGCGACTTCCGCTTCCCCCGTGCGTGGAGCTGGCACGGGGCGCGAGGCTTGAGCTCCCTTCCTCGGGCTGCGTGTCTGGTCCTGCGGGGGGTTCACTGTGCGCTGCAGGCCAGCAGTCAGGACCCCGATGTCCACAGAGACTGCAAACAAAGCCGCAGCTCACGGTAGCACCGCAGGAGAGCGTGGACACCGTGACACCCCACTGCAGTTTCTGGGCTCCCCCCTCTAGAGGTCTCGGCGGGGCCATGCCCAGGGGTTATTAAAGGTGATCGGACAGAAGTCCGGCTCTCCAGTCTCTCGTGTGAACTTGCTGCTCCTGCGGCTATGACGCCAGGGTTTTTTTTTAAAAGATGAAGCTGGCCGTCTAGGAAAACTGCGGAGACCTGCTGTATTTGTGTTTTAAGTAGAATCAGAAACGAACCTTGAGAAGTATCCCTTGGAAGAGCTGAGGTGCTGGTGTGGGTTTGAGGAGTCTTGAGTGCTGCCTGCTCCTCCTGTCACAGTGTCTTTCCCCCTGATGCGGGGAGCGCTGGCTCTGTTGCAGAGGAGGGATTCGAGTTCCTCTTCCAGCCTCCTTACTGAAAGGAGAGGTGGTGTCTCCACGGGTGAGAAAACCGCCCGGCAGCGATATGGTGCTCCTTTGGGGGCTGTCCAGTTCGCGGCTGGTAACAGCTCTGTCGCCCCTACAGGGAGAAGAAGTGGGTGACTGTAGGCGACACCTCTCTGAGGATATTTAAGTGGGTGCCTGTCGTGGATACCAAGGAGGTAGGGCTCTTCCTGCTACAGTGTTTATCTCTTTCTATTTTTATGCTTTAAAAATGTCTTCAGGTGAAATTTGCACAGAATAATGTCCATGGAAGGTTATGAATGGAGTTTGCTGCTGACGCCAGCCTGTCCCTGTTTGTGATAAACTAGACAACTCGAGTACAAGATGCCACAGGCCTGCTGCTGTGGAACAGGAGGAATGTGGAAGAGAGTAAAATAGAGGTGTTTTAGGAGCTCTGTTACTTAGAACATTAAGGTCAAGAGCAAAGGGTGTCCTTGTTTGATTGCTAGCAGATAGTCAATCTGAAGATCTTGTCCAGTCTCGTCTCACTGTGAAGACTGTGCTTCTACAAAGGCTGGGGCAGCTTGTTCCCTACACCCACAACCCTTTTTTGTAAAGAAAAGCCTCCTGCATGTTGCCTCCTGCTGCCAGTTTTATATGCCCTTCCACATAGTCTCTGCTTGTGCCTTCTGTTTTAATTTCACTGTTCGTTTTGAGCAGTAGCTTTAAAATGAAAAAAAATAAAAGCTAAAACATTTCACAATACCGTCTTCTCTCTTGAAATGTCTGTCTCCCTCGTGGTCTTGTTGTATTGGATTGTACTGTTAGCACATTGCCCCCAGCCCACCCTAGTGCTCAGGCCTTATCTAGAGATCCTGCTCCACTTCAAGCACGGCCACTGCTCTCTGTGAGCGTCTGCGGCAGGTCGCTGTACTTCAATGCAAAATAATCTTCTTCCTCTCTTGTAGAAAGAAAAGTGCAAAACCAATGGCAGCGCAGGGAGGGAGCTGAAGGGCTACCCTGTGGACACCGGGGATACGGCTTCAGAGAACAACCGCTCTGTCCTGCTGGACTTCCAGGGTGCGACACTGCCCTTCGCACATGCGCAGCGACTGCCTGTACAGCTCCTCAGCTGCACAGATCTAGGAGCTCAGAGGTTCCTCTGTGTTTACTGGCCCAGGGGCCTCTCGTCTGTAGGACTGTACCTCTCCTTGTTCATCCCAAAGACATGTGGTGTCGAAGTTCACTGCGCTAGATCGGGATCTCTAATTCCTGATCCATAGTTCACGCCCTCACCAGTTATCAAACGTGTGCTGTTCAAGTGCCCTGCAGTCATTTTCAAAATGCTGACTTCCAAATTCTTGTTTGCCTCATCTGTGGGTGTACCTAAAATCACAAGATCTAAAAAAGCCTGCACTTCCGCAGAAATAGATTGTTGCTTTTAAGATCGTAATTATGTTCTGTGTTTTGTTTGGATAATTATGTAGTTGGAGTCCACATGCCACAGCCTGAGCTTTGTTTTCTCGAGTGCACATTTTATGAGCTGCGGGTCTTGTTGAGCTGATAGAGTACACCATAGTCGAGAGGTTAACCCTCTGCCACGCCCAATATAGTAGAAATCTGGGTGACGAAGACCCCCTGTACCCTGTCTTTTTCCTGGCATTAGCTCCCCAGTTTTTTCCTCCTGGGGGGCGTGTGTGGGAAAGTGGGTGTTCAGCATCTGTGTCCTTATGGCCAGGCTGTTGTTCCCCAAGTCAAGCGATCGATCAGGATCAGGGTCTTTCTCCTGCTCTAAACTGCCCAAAGCTCTTAAAATAACTTACCAATATTACTCATCTGTCCCTGCATATTTACCCCATGACAGTGAAGACATAATATTTAAATAGACAGAGGCTGGGGCACTTTGCTGGGGCACTTTGCTGGGGCACTTTGGCGCAGTGGTTATCGGTGCTGCCTCTCGGAGCTTGGACCCCCTCTTCATTCCTGGGATGCTGTCTATGTGGAGTTTATATGTTCCCCCCCATATTTGTGTGGGTTTCCTCTGGGCCCTCAGGTCCCTCCCACTGTCCAAAAACATACTGGTAGCTTAATTTGCTTCTGGGAAGCCTGGCCCTGGTGTGAGTGTGTGTGTGTGTCCTGTGATGGACTGGAGTCCTGTCCAGGGTGCACCCTGCTTTGTGCCAGTTGCTTGCCTGGATAGGCTCCAGCTCCCCCGTTATCCTGGATGGGACGAAGTGGGTAGGAAAGGGATGGATGTTGCAGGAGATCCAGTAGCTTATAAGCCCTGGAGTTCCTGAGCAGCCTGAGTCTTGCCCGTGTTGCTTCAGGCCTCAGTCTCCTCCTCATTGCCGCTGTTTGCGGTGCCTTGCAGATGACAACAGTAACCAGAGCTCGCTGTCGGACATGTACCAGCCCAAGGTGGACAGCAGCAGCAACTCCAGCCCCCAGCCCAGCGAGCCGGTCAGCCCGGCCCCCACCTCCGACTTCCGCACCGACGACTCCCAGCCGCCCACCCTGGGGCAGGAGACGCTGGAAGGTACGGCTCCGGACCGGGGGGATGGGCGTGGATTTGCAGGCGGAGAGAAGGGGCTTCTGGCGCAGGGTGAAGGGGGTCTGGGAGGGATGAGAGGCTCCATCTGAATATGAAGGATTCATTGTGTTGACCAGTTTTACAGCACTGAGGAGCAGATTGTGTGTGAAGTAAAAGCAGCTAATTTACCCATAATGGGCTCGTCTGGGTGACATGATGCTTCTGCTTCCTTGTCCTGTTTTCACTCCTGTGCAGACAAGAAATTTGTTTGAGGTGTTTTGATCAGAGTGAGATGGAGACTGTGGAGAATAAGCACAAAGACTGGGTGATAAGAAGGTAAGGTTCCCTTTGAATTTCGATTTTAAAATAACGGAAGTCCGTTTTTGAAAAACAACTTCCAGAGTCGTCGCTGCAGACTTGCGAAGTTGCCGATGAGCCGCCCACTCTGACGAAGGAGGATCTGCTGCCTCTGAACGCCCAGGTAAATGGTGCTGCTCTCTGATCTCCGACGGTCTCCTTCTCGCCTGGCTCTCGGCGCCAGCCCTCACTGCCCCCCGGCGCAGCTTTAAATTGAGAGAAAGTAATGTATTTAACTTCTGCTGATTTGATGTTTTTCTTAAGTGAGTTTATTGCTAATTGCTTTGTGTGTGTGTGCAGTGCAGTAAAGGTGTGTGTCTGCACGCAGGTGGATGAGGAGAGCCCTGAGGCAGGAGCCCCCCCGCTGAAGAGAGTCTGCACGGAGCAAAGCTCAGTCCTCCAGCCCTCGACTCTCAGCTAGCCCACGATGCACCTGGCTAGGTTGGCGGGATGGTGGTGGTGTGTGTGTGTGGGGTGGGGGGGACGCACTGCTGTCCGTCCAGCTGGGAATGACCGCAGACGTGCCAAGAGCACGTTTATCTTGATCTTCAGAACAGCGCTTACGGCTGTATTCACCTCGAATGAGCAGTTTGTATCCTCTTTGCTTTCCTTTCAGTGTCTTTTGGAGTTGCTGTTAAATGTGTCCTGTGTGATCCCAGGGGCTCCCCCAGCCACTGGGGGGCGCAGTGGGGGCAGCGACCCCTTGTGTCCTTGGTCCTGCACCCTCTCTAGGTGTCATAAGGAGTAACAGTTGTAGAAACTCTAGTATTTGTAAGATGCCAGAAGGAAATGGAACAGATGATATCAACTGGTCAAAAATAACCGCATTGCCTAAAATATGATTTCATCATTTCGCTAGATCTCTTGTGCTCCTCTAAGGGGCCCAATGAGAGACCCAGAGGCTGGGCTTGTTTGGTTCTGGCTCGGTTCTGAGGTGAATACAGATCCTGAGGCGTTCGTGTCGATGGCCCGGCAGTCTCTCGTGCTCTGGAGACGCCGGCTGTGTGTTTGAAGCCCTGCTCTGGCTTGAGCTGGGAACGTGTGCACAGGGAGCCTGACTCTTCCTCGGACCAGCGCTGTCCGCGGTATCCCCGCAGAGAGAGACCAGAAATGGGGACTCTGTGCTTCACCTGTCCCCGAAGGGGAACGTAGAGGAATCCGGAATAGTTGGCGATCATTCCCTTCTGCGCCACCGCTGCTTTCTTGCTCTGTCCCAGATCCCAGGTGTGAGAGGAAGAGTGGGAATTCAGATTCTTCCACATGCCAGTTTTGGAGTGAAGGAAGCCAAGGCTGATGTGGGAGACGTGAAGAAGCCCCAGAGCACTGACCCGCCTGCTTGTGTTTCAGCAACCACAGCAGCGCTCATGGGCGCCAGACCCGCGGTGGTGTACCGGCCATGTGGGGGCGCTGTCTGCACCCTGAATCTAGGAACTCTCCTGCTCTGACGCTGCTGTACCAGGACTGTGCTGCTCCCATGGGGAGCCTGGACAGGGTCGGTGAAGACCCTCTGGGGTGCAGACTGCCTCCCCTGGAGCCTCTGCTGGGACAGAATATTCCTGAACCGTTGTGGGACGTTCGTGTCCGTTATCTCGAGGCAAAGATCATGAGCAGGAAGCATCCAAGCATGGAGTAGAAGACAAATTTGGGAAGTGTAAGTGGGCCTGAAAGTAATCTGTCTCTAGAAAAGCCCCACGTGCTGCTGCAGGCATTGGATTTCTTCCGGTACCTGTGGCTGCTCCCTTTCAGATCTTTTTCTCCAGCAGCCGTGAGTCAGGTTGAACAGAAAACATGCCCCCAGGCCAGACCTGCTGCTGCCTGTAATGTGTGAGACTGAGGTGCATTGTCCACATTTTCAAGGGATGCTCAATCACTATTTTAAAGCAAAGAGTCTGCATAGATTCTGATCTCTTTAAAAACTTTGATGAAAGTCTTTCATATACACACCAGCTCGATTGAATACCTGTTTGGCGCAATCGTGTGGCCCTTGACTGTACACAGTCCTGTTAACTCCAGCAGCTGTGGAGCAGTGTGATTCAGTCCAGTCTTGTAACATTGGCAGTCTGCAACAACAATGAGGTAACGTCCTGGAGTGTCCCAACTACTGCTTGCTGTGACAAATGAATGTGCACTTGAAGAGGGTGTCCTTAAGTATCTGGGCCTGATTATTTTTGCCTGTGAGCAAGGGGTTGGCAATCTGATTTGTTTATTGTGGAATGGGCTGTTTGCACACCATTTGCCTAAAGGGAAAATAAATTCCATTATGATCAAAATTTGGGGACTTTGTGCAGAGAAAGCATGTCGGTACATATATCTGTATCTTTCCACATACCCATATATTTAAAATACAAAAAGTTGGGTTTCCTTGTAGCAATGGGGGACCAGATGTGAAAATTTATTTTCACCATTTTAGAAAGGGAAGGCTTTTTTACCCTTGTGTGTGTGGTGGGGGGGATCGATGCTTCATGTTTTTAATGAAGAGGAACACCAGCTACACATTTTGTTTTGTCCACTGAGTGAACAGCGAACAAGAGATTTGTTATAAGACACTGATATTTACTCCTGGTCCTGGTAGCTACATAGGTAACTTACAAATCCTCAGTGGTGGAAGACTTATGAAACAGTAGTAATATAGATTAGTAAAGTGAACAGTTAATTTAAGAGTCCAGGGTGGAATGAAAACCAAAACATGGCTCTTCAGGAGCAGGAGTCGATATCCCTGCTTTCGATTAGAAATAAGTGTCCTATTGCATAGTATTTTGATTCATTTCAGTTATTTAAGTCTGCAATCTCTTATATATGGATGTTTATGGATTATTCAGTGTATTTGCATATATCCATTTAGTTAAAATGCAATTAGTGCTTTTTATGCTACAGCTCTTACCAACACTGCAGCTGGTAATTCCTGGAGTGGATCAAAATGCTCTGTTGTGGGAGGTGAGTTCTTTTTTTTTTTTTTCCCCCCAGAGACTTTTGCAAGCAGAAAAAGGTTTTGTCACATAGTACGTCAATATTTTGTTAAATGACTGCTCATTTGCTTTTAAATTGGATGCCTTTGCTGGAAGTGTTTTTATTGTGCTGAGCATGTTCATTGTCTGGGCTTGACACTGTGTGAGTGGCGGAAGCAAGTCTTGGCTACTGTTGCTCATGCTTCAGCTTTGTGATGTTCAAGCGTAAATTGTTAAAAATCACGTCAAATCAAATTCCTACAATAACCGGTTTCCAGAGACTTAAAATAAGTAGTGCTGGGATGTATGTTTTTGTTTTTTGTACAGAACTTTGAAAATGTGTTTATTTAACTTTTTTTTTTAATTAAGCAAATTACAGCTTACCTCCATCCTCCAATTTTTTGAAGAGGCTGTAGTGGTGTGTTCTACAGTGCTTCTGTACTGCTGCTACAGCTGTTTCAGTGACACACCTGCGTATTTTAGAGATGTCAAGATCAAACTTCCTCCCACACTCTATAAAGACATGCTGGTGGGGTAATTGGCTTCTGGGAAGATTGTCTGTGCCCTGTGATAAACTGGGGTCCCATCCAGGCTGGGTCTTGCCCTGTGCCTGTTGGTTGGGGGAAGAGGGTGGAGAGTTCAGGGTCATGTTAGTGCCCTGTTGGTATGACCTTTGACCCTCTCCCCAGTACAAATAAAACTAACGTGTTGAGAATGAAGATAGTTATTAAAGCCCACTTTTCCTGAACTGAAAGCAAATCAATTAAGATGTACAATTATTGTGGAACGACTCAAAGTGCACAGCAGAGAGTCGTGAGTGTGCTTAGAGTTCAGCCTTTTTAGTTTTTCCCAACCTGTCAAGATGTTACACATTAGCGCTGTAGAAGCGATAGGTCTGTGAGTGAGACGGCTGAAGCAGCAGAAGAAGAGACTTAGAGCCCTGAGCCTGGCTCTGCCAGATCATGTTCTCACCAGATTGCTGGTGTGCTGGTCCTGTAACAAACACATCCACTGAGAGAGAAGGCTGTCAGTCCCCTATCATGAAACAAAGGCAAAACCTCCTGTTGGTTCTGCAAAGTCTGCTTGAGGTTTCTGATTCATAATTGTGTATTACTACGTTTTATTTTTTTCAAAAAGAAGGAGTTGGAGGGAGAAAAAAGAATTTGTATACAAATTGTATTTTAATGGAAGCTGAAAATGTATTTTTAAAGTACTGGACAACAACTTTTTATAAAGGAGCTGTGGATTTGGATGAACTGTGTGTTTTTTTTCAGATACTTTCTTACCACATTACCTTGTTTAACAATTCGGGGTTCAAGGAGTATCTTCCAAAACAAGATGATTGATTATACATGTAATATCTGTGAATTCAAGCTTACAGGAATATCTGTAAAAGGCCCACATGGAACAATAAAAATCTTGATGTGTAACTCGTCATCTCCATTGAGCATCTGAAAGGATGTCCTGATTAAGAAGAGGGTTTGCATTCTTGTACCTCTGGGTTTGATTGGTGGTTGTGGGGCCTGTCTGTGTGGAGTTTGCGTGTTCTCTCCTGGTGCGCGTGTGGTTTTAGCTGTGGTTTCCTCCCAGGAGCTGATGAGGAGCCCCTGCTAGCACACTGAGCGGGAAGGGTGGGCTGTGTGTGGAGAGGGGGCTGTAGTCGTAGCCCTGCGGCCCAGCCTTGTCCTCTCGGGATGGGCTGTCCTGCTCCGGCTCTGGCCAGGACTGGCGGCCTTCCGCTCGTCGCCAGGGCCGCTGGGGGGATGATCTTAGGATGTTTCAATATATTTCAGTATAGCGCCTTCTTTTCCTGGCAGTGACGTCACTCTGTGACGCACAAAACGCCAAAGTCATGAGTTTGTGCTGGCTGTAGGGGGGCCAACTTCATGGAGCTCAAGGTAAGCCCTGCATGGTATTATAAATACAATATTTTGTACGTATTTTGAACCTTGCATTTTTGCCTTGTGTTCATTGTGTTTTGCAATAAAATATTGACTTCAGAGTAACTTGTAAAACTACTGAACAATCTAAAAGCAGGCATACGAAATACTTAGAACCGTTACAAGCAATAAGTAAAAATGAGCTCTTGCAGCTTTTCTTTAGCTAAAGACGGAGTCCTCATACGAGAGACCTTAGCAAACTAGCTGTCATTTGAACGGGATTTTGCCGACTCTCTAGACCGTGACGAGATTATCGCCATATTGAATTCCAAGCCCCGACGCCTGCGTCTGGTCTAGAAGGCCAAAACCTCACCAGAGGTAGGCACTGATTGTTTTTTTTTTTGCATGTGTCCGTCGTGGCTCAGTAGCGTGCAGCAGCCTAGGTAATTGTGTGTGAGAGAGAGAGAGACCGTGTATATATACAGTATGAGGTTCCGCTAATTCTGCTGTTTGATTATACCGCTCGAGGATGACATTGTAAATTGAAGGGGTGCCCCTATGCTGGCAGGACGGTCAGTTAGAGCCCGGTCCACCCACTTTTGCACAGGGCCACCCCAAAATCAAGTCCTGGCTACAGCCCCTGCCTCCACCGCCCTGTGTCGGTAAACCGCAGGAAACGAGCCCTGCCGTTACCGTGACAACACACACGTCCGCAAAGATGGCGGAGGGCTGGAGTGTGGATACGGGGGAAGGGGTTTATCGCTCCAGGGATCCAGTCGAAAACCTGAAAATAAGGTAACCAGGAAAGACCCGAAAACAAGAAAGAGTTGAACGTGCAAACAGAGCACTTCACAGATTCGTGCTGGTTCTTCTTGCCGGGAGTAACGTGGTATATTCAACGTTGCGAGTTCAGCTCGCCGGTTGAACATAACGATAACGCGTGTAAAGTGCACGTTCAGACAGCATCTAATCCAGTAGCGTTTTTAAAAAGACGTACAGCATGTATTTCGACGTTTGCTTTTGGAGGTATTCCCGACATTCGCTACTTTATATTTTATATAAACGTAAGGGGTTGTTACATCCAAATGTAACGTTAGAGTTGTTTACAGTTTGTAAAGGAGGATTATGCTCGTACAGCTCCCTTACAGCTCGTACTGTCGTATCGCAATTCTGAACACAATTCAGTGCTGTCTCGGTGCTGGAGTGTAGCAGAGTAACCTGTCAGTGTGGTGCAGCAGTGTCTCAGTGTGGCAGTGTGGTGCAGTGCTGTGTCAGTGCTGGTGCTGGAGTGTAGCAGAGTAACCTGTCAGTGTGGTGCAGCGCTGTCTCAGTGTGGCAGTGCTGGAGTGGAGCAGAGTACTGTGTCAGCATGTTGTGTCTCTGTGTTGCAGGGTGCGGCTCCAGCGCATCACGTCCCCCACGGTGTTCTCCCAACAGCTCCAGCAGCAGGCCTCTGCCCTGCAGGAGAAGGGCCTCATTGAGCTCCTCACCTTCAGTGCTCAAGCCAGCTCAGGTGAGTATGTGTGCAGGGCCCAGGCCCTCTTTAACTGGGACCAGTTTCCTGAGGAGATCCATATCCAAAGGGTGTTAGTAGGACGTCTGAACGCCTTCGTGTCTGGATCTCAGGTCAGGGAGTTAGCGCCAGCACAGAGCTTCCAGCATGGCAGTCGCTGATATGGAGCAAACCAGAGAAAAGTACAACCAGAGAGTATATATTTCCTACTGACGTCAGCTGGTGCTGATACCGTTTCTTGAGTGCTGGCAGTTCTTTAAAGAGATGCATTTCCGCTGCCAGGGTAAGGGTGTCCCGCCACACGCTCGCACACACTGTAGGAACACGGGTTCTGGTTTGTTTGTTGGCAGTGAGGACTGTGGAGGAGCGCAGTGCAAGTGGCGGCCAGTGTCTGCTGGGGGCCGCTCAGTAACGGGCCTGTCTTGTGTTCCAGCAGGCGGTCAGCAGGACGACAAGGAGGACGTGACGGTGGGCTGGCAGGAGAAGCTCTTCAGTCAGGTGGGGGCCCGGTAATTGGTCAGGTGGGGGCCTGTTCAGTAATTACAGATAGATGCAGTAATAACATCGGCTGGGCGCTTCCCTGTCCTGATGGCAGTAGGGGTTACTCAGTCTTCAGTGAAAAAGCAGGAGGTACTGTAATGTGCTCAGGCTGCCACACCTGAAGAGTGTGACAGGGCCCTGGTGCTGTGGTGGGGACTGTGTTCCTCGCGCTCTGCGCTGGCCGTCCTCGGAGAGAGTTCCCACACTCCCTTCTCTTCACGAGTCCAACCGAGTGAGGCTGCACACAGCACTGTCCAGTCTTAGGAAATCCAGGGAGAGGAGAGATGGATGTTTCTGAAAAGTGTGAAATGAATCCAGGAAGTCGCCTGATGCTGCATTATTATTGGGATTATTTTGCTCTACAATGATTTTGTTCCTGAAGAACCATGTCCGTGTTTTTAATAGGGAACCTATTTTTTCATGCCAAGCGCTAGCGTCTGCAGTAGGAGTGTAGTGGGAGCTGGGCTTTGTCTTTTCCCTGAGATGTTTCTCCTGACCTGTGGGGTGTGTGCAGAGTGAGGTGGCCCTGCTGCAGACCGAGGCGGCATGTCGAAGCCCCCTGGAGAGGCAGTACCATGCTGAGATCGCTGCTCTGGAGAGGGCAGGGGGGCGGGCCAGCCGCAGGATCTTCACCTACACCGACTGCGACCTGCTGTCCGGGGAGATGGAGGTGGGTCCGCTCTGCAACTGGCTCGGGCTTTAAAGGGCCAGAGATGCTTTCATGTTTATTGTGTGGCTGCTGCTCTTTCCTTGAATGGCTGTCTGTTGTTGCCTGTAGGATGCAAGGCAGAGTGCATATGAAGATGAGAGCACTTAGTCGCATTTGTGTGTCTCTGCAGCACAGTCTCCCAGTGCTGAACCCGGACTGGGCTGCCCCCACCTTGCTGGCGGAGAGAATGGCGCATGTGAGGCACAGGAGACAGGAGAGGCGCCCAGTGTGAGCAGCAGTCTCTTCTTCCCGCTCTGGCTGTACACATACACACAGCGCTGATAAACATTACTTTGCAAATAAATACAGCATTATGTAAAAGATGTAATATTTATTTGTACATTTATATGTTTTTTGCAAGTTTTTGTGAAACATGGCTCTTGGATACAAAACAAATTCGTAAGAAATCTGCCGAAGTATTATCATTTTGGATTGTACTGTGCCCATTTCGTGGCCTGAGACAAGCTGAGTGTTACCTTTTTTAGGGACCTTTTAGTTACTCTCTGCCGTTCTTGAGGGCTCACAGAATGATTTGGTGTCCTAAGCTGAAGGAAAACGCCTCAAATGGTGTTGCATGGTGTAAGGAACTGTAACCTCCAAATATCACTTTGCCACCTTCACCTTCTATCCAGGGCCCACTCTGCTTCTCAATACGTTGTGACCTGTATGATGTCAAGCTACTGTTCACAACAGAAAAGAAAATGGTAAAATCTTCAGCCACATCACAATGTGATGTTTAAGACCAGCATGGTGCTGGCTGGGTGCAGTTCTACTTGTACCGTATGAGCCTGGATCTCTGTCTGACTTTGACTTTCCCACACCTGGCTTCTGCCCTCCAGGGAAGGCAGTGTGCCCAAGTCCCGGACTGTCACCTGGGAGCCCACAGAGGACTTTGTGAAGAACAACCATGTGATCAACACACCGGTGCAGACCATGCACATCATGGCCGACCTGGGACCTTCTGGGGCGTGAGTGATGCTCAGTCTCTTACCCCCTGTGTCCAGGTGTCCAGTTAGTTTCCACCTCACCTTCTGAAGCCCTGCTGCTCTACATTAATTCTGAAGCTTCTGATTTTCACAAATTTGTTCTAGCATTAGAGTACTAACATTAAGCAATACAGATGAATGCTGGCTAGGAGTATTTTAAAACTCTGCTTGCTGAGCCTTAAAATACCCCGATATGTGGAATTAACCCCACAGTGGGTGGGGAGCTAGTGTCTGGGAGTCAAATGATTTAAAAATAATGAGCGTCCCTCACTTAGTCAGTTGTTTTTTACTTCTAGGAATTGGAAGCCATAAAGGGCACAGGCTTTTATGTAACCATGAGGGCTTAATAAGATGGAATGTTGTTGAAGTTGATAACCCTAACCCTAACCACTTGCTTCAGGGCGCAATTAATCTGCCGAATGCAGATATTCAAACCCGTTACTCAATTCAATGTGTGTTTTTTAATTGGTTAGGAGCACTAAGTTAATTGAATCTGCGTTCAGAAGTAAATGATCATACCTGGTTGTGATGGGAGTGAGCGCTGAATGGCGTCAGGCTGTCGTGTGTGTGTGTGTTGCAGGCTGGGCAGGAGGGCGAACGAGCGAGTGCTGTGCACTGTGCGAGTGGACGCCAGTGGAGTCGTCACTGTCAAGCCCGACTTCAACAACAGCAGAGGACCTTACAGGCACGTGGCTCCGTCAGCCTCCGCTCTTCACCTGTCTCTCGCTGTGCTTTCTTTCACCGAGTGGCCTGATGGCTACCCCGCAGAAAGACAAGCCGCAGCCCCTGCTGTGCCCTGTGAGAGGAGGCCACTCTGCCCTCTTCAGCCCCAGCAGCCCTGCTCGGGTTGGCGCTGCGGGGCCGGTGCGGGGCCGGTGTGGGGTCAGTGCAGGGCCAATGCGAGGCCAATGCGAGGCCGGTGCAGGGGCCAATGCGAGGCCAGTGCTGTCAGCTCAAGGGGTCTGTGTGCTCTGCCAGGCTGGAGATGGAGGGCCAGCGGCGGGAGCGGTGGCAGTACTCCCTGGAGGACGCGTCTCGGACCATCGGCCCGGAGGAGAGGGAGCGTGAGCAGCGCGTGTTCAGAGATGTGAGTGAGGGGCTCCTGGCCCCCCGGTGAAGAGGGAGAGACGCACCCTCTGAAATGTCATTTCCCTTTGTATGCCTGCTTTGCTTTCTGTCTTGTTTTTCCTTCCATCCACTCTCCTGTCTACGGTTTATACGAAGGCTTTGAACTGGATGCGCTGCCTTGTTGGCTCACAGTGAACCCCTCTCTTCCTAGCTCTACACACGCCACAGAGAGTATCTGAACAGCCTGGTCGGCCAGGACTTTGAAATGGTGCGTTGCACGTCAGTGTGCTGCTGCGAAGCAGCTTTTATTATGTCTTAGTCCTTGGTTTCTTATTTGACATACAGTATATAAGCATTGAATATATTGTACTGGATGTAAACAGTCCTCCCTTAAATCTGTAGTTTAAAAGCTAGTTGAGCTACTTTGGGATAAATTACTTCCAGAAATAACACCTGGAACGCCTTTCCAAGATAACACATTGGACACTTTCTCCATTTTAAGTTGGTTAGTTAATACATGAAGGTTTTTCCCTGAAGAAGATTGACAGGGCTCTAATCAGTTCTGTGTCCCCTTTCTAGCCTCCCCCTGGCATTCTGCGCCTGCTGGTGAACGGAGAGATCGGTGAGCCTGGCTCCGGCTCAGACCGGCCTGCGGGCTTGTGCCGCGCTCGTGCCAGAGTGACCACATGCCGACAGCACGTGGCCCTGCATTCTTGGGGAAAAACAGTTGTGAGACAGTTTTTTTTGACAGCTAAAACAACAGGAGACTGACCTGATTTTGAAACAAGCAGGGGCTAAACCAGGAACAGCACAACCTATTGTTATCTCATCATCATCATCATCTCAGTTCCTGTTTTTTTGTAGCGTACTCATGTTCTTCAAAGCCTTCTGTTCCAGTGCCAGTCTGCCTGATGCTCACTTTCAGTCTCAGCCCATCAAACCGTTTTTGAAACCTCCTTTGATACAGAAAACAATTTAACATATTAACATATATACTGTTTCTCCGGCTTAATAAGCAGTTCAGCATGTTAGATCCCTCTGCCTCAGTGCACAGCATCACAACACAGCAGTACAATGGCTGCAGCCATGGGCGAGAACTGAAAGAGGTAGCTGACACTGCCGTGTGTTAATTCAGAGAGCCATCGTTTTGACCAGATCTCATTGATAAGAACAGAAAGAAGGTTAAGAGCTAGAAGATGCCGTCCAACCCACCCAGTGCAGGAATGCACAGTCCTGGGTCTGGAGCCCCACACAGCTGCTGGCTTCCACTCCTGCTGAGCTCCCTTACACAACTGAGACTGAAATAGCAAGCTGCTGGATTGGAATATTTAATTGGAATTATTCAACTCAAATTATTGATTTTTTTTTTACTTACGAAATAGCAATAGTTAAAAGACAACCACCAATATATTTAAGAGCTGAAAACAATCAACCAGTTCAAATTAACCCTCTTATTAAGGGTTGATTGTGTAACTTACAGCTGTTTTTTCACAATTGTGTAACTGAAATTGTTTGGACCTCCAAGTCCGGCTTGTGAACCCCTCATCTAGTGCAGCTTCTTGGAGGAATCCATGGTATCATTTTCAACATAGTGACTGACAGGGTGGCTTGTTCCACACTCCTGCATCCTTTTGTGTAAAGATTTACACCCTGTTCTCGGTATCAAATGTGTTTTCTGGTTTATATTTTGCTTTCAACTAAAGAGGTCTATTAGGTTGAGCTTGTTTGTATTTGTAAGGGGTTTGAATCCTTGAGTCCAGTCCCGTTGTACTGTCCTCTGTACTATATAATATTTTGGCAGGGCCTTTGGGATCTTCTGTCTCTATAATGCAGGCAGATTCTTGATGTAGTGTTCCTCCCAAAGTTTGGCATTAAGAAGGGAACGTTCTTGTCCGAAACCTTACATCTTGTTCTGCTGTCCTAGATTCTGTAATAGTCTGGAAGGGTCAGATTTGCTTCTCTACTGAAGGTTCTGTTTGATTTGTTTGCAGTCTCTGCGAAAGGCTATGAGTACGACAACCTGTATGTCCACTTCTTCTTTGAGCTCCCCAACGGTAAGTCGCCATCCGATGGAGCACTTTCTCGCCAGTGGGGTCGCACTCCGCAGTGGGCCCAGAGAGCACAGCTGTGGGGTTCTGTAGCTCTTCCCTGGGTCTGGACGGATTCTTTCACACGAGTCCCCCTGCCACTCTGGAAGAATACAGTGAAGGGTGGCATTGAAGTTAAAATACCCAAGAGACAGAAATAATATTGCATATACACCGTGCCTGTGTGATTTCATGTCCTTAGTGCTGAGCCACCAAATCTGAGGTTTTATTTTTATTTTAGTAATCCCTTAAGCTCCATTTTCAGTTTACTATATGAGGCTTTCTTAGTCCAATTCAGAGCCATATGTTAATTTGCAGCTTAGCAAAGATCCATTTGTGTGTAATTTTTCTAAACAAATTAACAGTTCTAATACTGTGAATTCCATCCTGCCTCAAGAGCCAGAGCAGTTTAACAGTGAGCTGGTCTGGTGTTTCCAATTCCAGACTGGTCCAGCCTGCCGTCCCAGTCTCTGTCTGGAGTCACTCAGACCTGCCGCACGCGCACGGTGGGCCGGGTAAGATGGGGGGGGGGGGGTCTTGTTTATGTTTCTACTCTGTTATAGTCGATCTTCAGGCAGGTGTAGCAAGTGTGGATCAGTGGATCAACCTGGAGTCGTTGTGACTTCCACTGCAGTGTACACAGTGCGCCCCTCAAAGCTTTGTGTCAGACGCAGAGCCTGTTGTTTTCACAACGATCTCCATTGCTTGATGCCCGATGTCCACAACAGGTTCGACTCTGCTGTGTCCCTGGCTGCTGTTCTTAAACTTGCATTCCCCTCCTCCACCCTCTGCCTGACTGGCTGTGTGCTCGACACACAAGAGCACCTCAAGTAGCCGAGAGACCTCTGTTGTACAGCGACTGGAAACGTACCCCACAAAATCACCTTCCAGCTTGCAGCTCCTGCTCTGCTCAAGTATTGATCAGCGGGCTGTCACATCAAGCTAGACTTATTGCCCTCTGTGGGGAAACATCAAAGTGCCTTGTTTAAAAAGTGTCAATGTGAACTTGTGTTTCCAGGAGAATGCTGCCTTCTTCTCTTACCCCTTCAACTTTGAGGCTTTCTTCAGGAAAGAAGATGAGACAGAAGGTCAGGCTGCAGGACAGTTCTTAATCTTTCTGTACAGTTCCAGTGGGATCCCCAGGTCTTAGTGAATTTGAATTAGTGAATAGTGAATTAGCAGCTTACTTGGTCCTCCCTAGTATATCTTTTACTCAATATAGTTTTTAAAACATCACGTGATTGACTTTAATGAAGACTAAATCTACTCTAAAGCCACATTGTCAGAGTATTTTGTCCATGTTTCTAACTGGTCATGCTGTTCTGATTGATTCTGCTCTACTCCCGCGTGCTTTGCTCTGTGCGGATGACTGTCGGCTCCTGCAGACTCCGTGCCCCAGTGGCCAGTGCTGTACTTTGAGGTTCTTTCCCTGGACTTCTGGCAGCGCTACAGAAATGAGGGTTACGGCTACGTGGTCATGCCGGCGACTCCAGGTAGGCTTTCAGAGGGAATTTCAGAAAACCTTTTTAGAAGCACAGCATGTGTACACCTGTAGAACAGCTGTGAATAGGCTCTGCCTGACTCACTTTGCCGGGGATGACCAGGTTTAGATGGTGCTGGCTTCTGCATTTTCTCCTTTGTGTTGTGGCACAGGCAGGTCTTTTTATATGGCAGGTTTCTATATTGTGTAGACACTCGGGGTTCATAATCTCTCTGTTCCTGTTGGTTCACATTGACATAGAAACGATGAGAAGACGCCATTGCATCGGCCATGTCACTGTTTGCTCCTGAGACGGTGAATTTCTGAAGCATTGAAAGGAAAGAATGAAGTTATTCAACATGAGTGGTGTCAGATTTGGACGTGATCCCTTGTTACCCACAGGGCACCACACGGTGACTTGTACCACATGGCGGCCTGTGAGGATGGGAACAGTGGCGGAGCTGCGGCGGTTCTTTATTGGGGGAGCCCCTGAGCTGGAGGACGTCAGCTATGTCCGGGTGCCTGGGACCTTTAAGGTGGGTCATGTGAGCAGTTGGCACTTCCACTGCAAGGAGGTACGACCGTGATCACCCTGCAGGAGATCGAATCACACTGATCCTTCATTATCAGCTTGTGGAAGAGGCATGTGAAAGGCATCAGAGTTTTATGTTAAACCTATTATAGCAATTATAGGTTAGAGTGGGGAGCCACGTCAGCATTGCTGTATAGCCGATAGTGTAAAGAAGGAGGAATTCACTAGTTAGCCAGTTAAAACGGGGTTGGGGTTGAATTAAGATGGAGAGAGAGAGCTGGAATGTAGGTAGGGCGCCGGAGCTAGAACTGCTGCTGTCATGCCCTCGGCTACAAACATCACACGCGTCTTCTAGGACTTCCTGTCGGCCTTAAGGCACCTCCTGCAGCTCGGTGTTTTCTAAAAAGTGCCTCAATATGCATTTGATACGATAGTTGTGATTGTAGAGACGCAGGTATGTTCCTGTTGGCAACAGGATGGGCATGAGAAGCTGAATTCCCTCCTCTGCCTCACCGCTCTCACCCATGACTCTTCCTTCCCCAGGGGGAGCGTCTGAGCCGCTTCGGCTTCCGCAGTGAGACCACTGGCCGTGTGACCTTTGCCCTGCACTGCATTCAGCACTCAAGGTGAGGGGTGAGGGTCCGCTGTGGGCACCGGCTCCTGTGTCACTCGCGACACCGGAGCGTCTGGTGTTTATGAAGAGGATGCACTCATTTAAATCCAAAACAAATCGTTTGGGAGGGGAGCAGAACTTTGAAATTCAGGGTTGTCTGATTTGTGTAAAGTGGGGGAATCAAATAAATGAGTTGACCCCGAGGTCGTGACCTGACATCCAGTCCCCACGCACCCCCATCTGATGAGTGACTGCATGAACCCCTCTGGGAATGGGGCTGTTCATCCCCAGATTATGCAAAACATATGCAAATATTTACTGTAAAGGAAGATGTTGATGTCCAACTCTGCACATTATAAATGACTTAAGGAGAACTGCACAAGTAAGAATGTGTCATAAATATAAAGCAAAGGTATCACATAATTATTGTTGGTCTTTATCTTACAAGATGATTTAAGGAGAACTGAAAACCCTGCTGAATTCTGATCAATGATGACTCTCGAGCTAGAAAAAAACATTTTTAAAATAAAAAGGAAAATGTGTTGCAGCAGGGCTTTCTTAATCAGAAATCAAAGTATAGAAGCATTCTTCCTGTTGTTGTCTCTCCACATCACAGGGCTTTTATTGATGCCAGTGCTCTGAGGAAGAGGAGGCAGAGTGTCCTGGACCAGCTGGGAGGGTTCAGCCAGCAGGGCTCCATCTACAATGTGCTGGGTAAGACACTGGCTCAGACTTACACACCCCTGCAGTTCTCTGTACCCTCCTTGCCCACACCTGGTGAGAGAATTTCACTCCGAGAACAAAAGTGTTCAACAAAAGAATTAAAATCAAGGGAAGTAAAATTTTAAAATGCACTAAAGAGATGTGGAAGTGCATTCAAAAGCTAAAACAGAAGGCGCTTCTTTACCCTAAGGCTTGTGGGAATAGGTAACAAGTTACCCAGCCATGCTGTTGGAGCTCCAGGGGTGCTGTACAATGGCTGCGCTCTGACCCCAAGCTTCTCTCCCTTTCTGTGTGTGTCTCATGGAGAGCAAGCTGGGGTATGCGAAAAGACAAATTCCTAATGCAAGAAATTGTTTATGGACAATAAAGTGATCTTTTCTCTCTTATGTCTTCAGACTATGGAAGGAAACCCACATGAACATTGGGGAGAACATGCAAACTCCACACAGACCGCACCCGTTCAATAATTAAACCCAGGGCCCTAGCACTGCGAGGCAGCAAGGCTAACCACTTCACCCTGCTGTCCATAATTAGATCTATTCAGTCAATCATGACCTTGAAGTGGAATACAAAGCAATAATACTGATAGCCCACCAGGAACTGAGTATGACACCCCTTCCTTATGATGACAGATTTTTTGCTTTACAGGCAGGTACAGTCTGCTGTTTTTTGAGCAATCTACCTGGGTTTCTTTGTGAAAATGCAAGCTGATAGGGTGAATGATCTTTCCTAACCATAACACGTCCATAGTCCATTATGCTCAGAGGGAGAAACGAGAGGTTGAATTCCAGATTCCTTGGATACCGGCCTGCAAAGTACTAGACTTCAGACACGCCCTTTCTTTGGGGTGGGGCCTGGACTCTTCGACCTGGGTGCTAGTTTCATTAATGACCATTTCAGCTACTGTGATTTCTGTCAGAAAAACCTTGGTGTGCTCCTGAGCAATAAAAGTGACCGGTGTAATTAAGAGTACAATCTTAATCACTTTCTCTGCTCTTCCCAGAGGCGTTTCAGAGGGCCCGGAGACGAATGCAGGAGGCTAGGGAGAGCCTTCCCAGTGACCTCATTAACACCACAGCGCCCCCTGCCTCTGAGTCCACTGCATAGAATCAGCACTGGGAACATGTATGCAGCTCTCACAGAAGGCCCGGGAAACATGCTTTCAGTCCTCCAACAGATCACCTTGAGAGATATGCTCAATTAGTAAATCTACAGAAAAAGGCAAAGAGAGCATTGAAATGCCATGAAATTATTTTTACGAGACACTTTGATATTGAATTTGAAATATTTTATAGTAATTGATATCTACTCTGTAATTAATCTGTGTATGGTATTATGTACTGGTATTAAATGAATTTGGATTGGAGAGTATTTTTATACTGTTTGTATTGTAATTGTTTTATATGGAAAATTGTAAATAAAGTTTATTTGCTGTTTTATTTAAGCCATATTTTATAAGATTGAAACCAGAGTTCACTTTCTCTTTTTTATATTTTATTGCACTATTTTTCTGAAATGCTCATCACAGCATCAGTGTTACAACTGGTCACATGATATCCTCAGGGATATCTTGAGGATCTGGGTCCGTGTTGAGGCATTGAGTCTCAATGACTTTTTAACTGGTAGGACTTTTTCCTATTGGCCTGTGCAAATCATGGCCTCCTAATAATCCCCATCTATGAATTGACTTCATTACTCTGCTCTCTTCCCTGCTGATTGCTTATGTGTGGGGAGCGTTCTGGTGCACCATGGCTGCCATCACATCATCCAGGTGGGGCTGCACACTGGTGGTGGTGGAGGGGATCCCCATTACCTGTAAAGCGCTTTGAGTGGAGTGTCCAGAAAAGCGGTATATAAGTGTAAGCAATTATTATATAAAAATGTGTGAATGTACTGTGAGTGAAACATCACAATGACACCTATTCCAAGAACACTACTTTCACTGGGACAAGGTTCAACAAAAGCAAGGTCCTTGCAGAGAGGCAATATGACGACCTGTAGAACCCGGTGCTCGAGGGGAATTATTTGTGAGCGTTTTACTCTCAGGGTCCAGGTTTCAGCCACATCAGATGCTGAACACTTATCTGACGCTTGGATGGGGTTTTCTTAGACTCCTAGGACTAGGGGAATCTCATTCCAGGGCTATCCATCCAAATCACCACACCCTCGGCACTGAGATAGCACTGGGAAGTCAGGGGTCTGGACTGGAAACGGCAAGGCTGTAGGCTCGGCTCTCAGGCTGCGTAAAAGATGTTACACACGCCATTTGCTTTGGATTAGACTAGTGTCAGTCAAATAATTACTTTTAATAGCCGTCTGCATGGCGCGGGACGATGCATTAAACTTGGACTTAATTCTATCTTTCCACTTTACAATAATAAAATGCAGGCCTATCGTCAAAAAATAAACTGAAAGTAAGTAACCGAAGATCCAGCAAAGCTGTTACATACGCAGAAACTACTGTTAAATAGAAGTGTCTCGAATACACAAAAGTATCTAACAGCGGTGTTTAATAAACAACAATGGATGATGATAATCGTTTTCTCTCCCTTAGTCCAAATACGCTGCAGCTGCAGGCTGGGATGTGACCATTTCTCTGCCCCCGTCCGTCTCTAAGCGCTCGCAGCGCTGCGCTTTGTTACCGAGCGCCAGCCTGCGGATCCGCGCATAATGGCGCAGCCAGACCTGCTTTCGAAACCGCCCGGACACCGTCGCGGAATATTCACGAAAACAACCACCAAAAATCACTCATAACGGAGGGGAGCGAATAGAATTGCCGCTCGGCACAATTAAACAAAACAGAGCGAGGCAATTTATTGATTTATTTATTTTATGCCACCGCTTGACCTTTAACCCTGCGCTTCAACCTAACACCACATCCTCCTCGGGGACGGGGGAGGGCTGCGGGGGGGCGTGGCTGCACTTAATGGACAGCAGGAGCGCCAATGGGCCGGCGCGACCGTGCTCGAGACGGCGTGGGCAGCCAATGAGCAGGAAGGGACACGGGGGCGGGATCAAGCCGAGCCTGCTGCCGGGGTAACGGAGTTTTTTTGGGGTTGCCGGCGGAGTCGGATCTCCCGCCATTTTTCAATAAGGATTTCACCCTGTTGTTTGTTTTCGCACCTGCTTTATTGTCGCTCACCTTCCCCCTGCGCGTCAGGTGAACGGCGAGCCGGGAGCGCCAGAGAGCGGTGTTGTCCTGCGGCGAGAAGCGAGCCGGGAGAAGGCGCGACAGACCCCCGTCTGCGTCCCTGTCTCCGGGAGAGCCCGTCTCCATCCTCAGCCGCACACAGCGGGATCTCCGCGGCCAGGAGGCCAATCACATTTCCCGGCCCGGGCTCCATCGCCGCTCCCCATCCCCGCGCAGACCAGGAGGATGCCGGCGCCGGCTGCCTGAGCCAGCCAGCCAGCCGCAGACGGGCCGGCGAGCCGGCGGGGGAGCCGGTGTGTGACCGTGGCGCCGGGCGAGCCGAGCCTCCTGCATGCCCTACGCGCGGGGTCCCCGGAGCCGCTGTGTGATCCTGCAGTCTGGACTTCATGCGAAGGGCCTCCCCGCTCTCTGTGCGGGATTTCGGACAGCTGCCTGAGCCGAGGAGCTTCTTTCGTCGCCCGTCCGCGCTCCTGCCGCCGGCCCGATGGCACCGCTGCTGGGCCGGAAGCCCTACCCGCTGGTGAAGCCGCTGGCGGAGCCGCCAGGCCCCGAGGAGCTGGTCTACACCATCGAGCACACGAAGGAGGCCTTCAGGAACAAAGAGTATCCTTCCCTCGCCCGCCCCGGGCCTGTCCGCAGCGGCCGGCGCCGGGTGTGCTTGATCCCTGCCCGGGGTCCGGGAGCTCCTCCCCGGCCGCTGAGCCTCTTTGTCCGCCGACAACAACAGGGCTCCCCCGCCGCCTCCGCTCTTCGCGCCGGCTTTTGTTCCGATCGGGGTCTCGCTGGCTGGCCGGGGGTGGGGGGGGTCTGGGTTTTGACTGTGTGGCTCAACATGTGCTCGTTTGCGGCGGGGTTGCACATGTGCGCGTCTCGGCTGAGACAAAGGAAGTTGCCCGGTGAGGCGCGCAGGGCGGCGGGCTGACAGCGCTGACAGGCGCCGCGGCGGGGCCGCCCGGCCGTTTCCTCGGCGCACAGCTGAGGCGTGAAGCTCGGCTGCGGGCGCAGCGGCGTTATTGGCAGATTGGCGGCGTTTTATTCTGGGATCGCAGGCGGTGGCAGAGTCGCTCTGATGCGTCCGGCGATTGCAGTCTCCTCTTGGCACTGACGTGTGCGCCTCGCTGCTGGAGTCGGAAGAGGTTTCACACGGTCGGCTGTCCGGGCAGGTGGGGGAGTCCGGCTCGCAGACTCCTCCGATCACATCTGTGATGGTGTTCACAGGCGGGGGCGGACAGCAGCCAGCCTATCCTCAGCCCCACTCCGTGACACGGTGTTTGGAGTGTTTCACAAAATCCCGACCCCCGGGAGTCATTGATCAGGTCTCGCAGCTCCAGCGATCAGGAGCCACCGGCTGGTTTCCCTTTCGTGTCGGTGTGCATGTGCCCCAGTCCCGGGGTGAGCGGCGTGGTGTCACCGGGGGCACTGACTGGCACGCCAGCTGCTCAGTGGCTGTGCTGACCCTGCCCGCTGGCGCTGGGGGAGAGAGGGGTGACCGTGGGCAGGGTGGCGACTCCAGAGCCTGGGTGGGCAGTTGTTCTCCCGGGCTGGAGCTGTGCCCCCTGTTGCGCCTCAGCCTGGTGCCCCGCCGGCTGGGGGGGTGCTGCACCCTGTGTCTCTTGCCGGGTGGAAAGCTGCGCTGTGTGGCGATTGTGTGGGTGATGGTGGGGTGCAGAGCTCCGCTGGCCCCAGGCCCGGGTGTCATTGCTGTGCTGGGCCTGGCCCCGTGACCTTGTGCGAAGCGGCTCGTCGGTGGGATCTGCTCTCTGGAGGTTGATCGCGGTCGGCGGAAAAATCTTATTTTCTTAGACATAGAATGTTTCTTTTTTAGGCTTTTAAGCCTGATTACTCAGAAAATTGACCTACTAGTACAGTCACCAGTAAAACACCTCAGGCTTGGTTATATGTGTTGCACTAATGCTGCAAAATAACGCTCTGGACTGTGGAATTGTGATTTCGGGTAAACTCGCTGTAAACTCAGGAACTGAATCTGACACCTTGTAATAGTTTCATTATTCATAGCTGACACCAGTGTTTGATTTCATGAGCTCTAGGTTCTTATGGTAGAAGTTCTACCTATCAGATATAAAAATTAATGTACGCTTATTGTTTTGAATTCATTAATCTTTCACTATTGAATATCTGGAATAAGCTTTAAATGCAGCATTCTCTCCTGCTCATGTAGCGCCTGCCGCTGTGAAGTCACGCTGCGCTGTTGTCCTGAGTTGCGTCCACACCCATGTATTGTTCCAGTACTTAAAAGTACTCATTTTCAAACAGGGGAAAAAATCTTTGACGTCTGTCCTTTTTGTTCCTCTTTTCTAAATCATTGAGCCAGATACGTTAATTCTCATTTTCCTAGATGGCCTGGGCAGTTACCTTTCTATGCAGCAGGGTTTTAACTAGAGAAAGTGTGACACCTCTCCTGGGATTTGAACCCGCAACCTCCTGGTCTGGAGTCCACTCCCCCACGCTGCTTGGCCTGTGTTGTCACCCGTCCCTCTGAAACCGTGCACTTCCTCCAGTATGGGGGAGGAGGGTGTAGGATTACTCGAGATTTCTAGCTTTTGCAAATGTTATCCATGGGGTTATGTTTTACAGTTAGAAATGTATAGTGGTAGCAGTTCTGTTTTATATTGTACAGTATACGTTTCTGGGGAGCATCTAAGCACCGGCTGTGATGGACTGGCGTCCAGTCCGAGGTGTGACCTGCCTTGCACCTGTTGCTTGCCGGGTTAGGCTCTGGCTCGCCGTGACCTGAATTGGATAAAGCAGTTAGAAACTGAGCTCGGGGTTTGTGTAAACTTGAGGCTTGAAATCCGTTCTGCTGCGGACATTTCTGCGGTCGAATGTGACCCACACAATCGCTGCCATGAGGACGGACTCTGGAGTGCAGTGGGTCTGATCTGAAGGTGTCGTGCTCTCCAGCTGTTTTCCTGAGCTCTTGTGCGCACAGGGAGTACGAGGCGCGCCTGCAGAGGTACAGCGAGCGCATCTGGACGTGCAAGAGCACTGGCAGCAACCAGCTCACTCACAAGGAGGCCTGGGAGGAGGAGCAGGAGGTGACCGAGCTGTGAGTAACCTTTCCTTCAGCCTCCGCTGCACGGAGCTGTGCTCTCAGGTCACTGTCCCTCAGCACAAAGAAGAGCACTGCGGGCAGAGCTGTGCAGTCTGGCTATAGCCTGGGATCTTGTGTATTAAATCTGTTAAACTGGAAACAGAATGGGTGGTTATAGTAAGAAAGTGGGGTTACTGGATCATATGTAGGGGAACCTCGTGGGGTTTCTAAAGATTAATTTGCTTTACCTAGTGTCTTGGCTATATTAGTGGTTATTCTCCAGTAACTTCAACTTAAACAGCATCCTTTTTATACAAGTATCAAATCCAGTCTTGTTTCTTTACATGTTTTATATCAAGAGCACCATATCTGACAGTCTAACGTGGTAGAGACTTAACAGGGCCAGAGGCACTCGTACACATATGGCCTGGTAAAGTTTAGTTCTAAAAGAATAATTAAACAATTGCTTCTATATTTTCTTTCTAAAGAATCCCAGTGCGCTTCATTTTTAGGTGGGGGACCAAAATTATCCAGATTGTCAGCTCCTACCTGGGTAATGTGCAGCAGCCATTATGTAATGACAGCCCCAAAATAAGGCAACTCAAGTAGAGAAGTGAATCTGAAATAAAACATTACCTTTATCAAGTCCCCTTGATGGCTGGTTTCCAGGCAGGCCTGACTCTTGTGTTGCTCTGCTCCTTGTTGGGCTGGAGTCTGCAGCCGGGTGACTTTGCGAGATCCTCTGGCTGGCAGGGAGAGCGTGGCTCTGTGCTGACACCGCTGGCCCTTGGGCGGGGGCAGGGGGTGACACACCTGTCGGGAGCTCAGGTCCCAGCCGGGGTGTGTCTGTGTGTCCAAAGCGTGTTCCAGCCAGACGTTGACTCAGCGTCTTGCCCAGTGGGACCGGGATTAAGGGCAGGGATTTGTCACACCCGAGCCATTTCCTATTTTAAATGTTTCTTCGTCACCGACTAGCCATGTTGACTGTTGTGTTTTTAAACATTTCCGAGGGCAGTCAGCTGCCTTCAGGTCCGAGAGGCTCCGACGCTCATCTCTTGCTTTGCTGTCTGTGCTCGGCAGGCTCAAGGAGGAGTACCCCCCCTGGTTCGAGAAACCGGTTCTGGAGATGGTCCATCACAACACCATCTCTCTGGACAAGCTGGTTGACCAGGCCTGGGTGGAAATCCTCACCAAGTACGCAGTGGACGAGGAGTGCGACTTCCTGGTAAGCTTGAGTCTGACCACCAAGCTGGCAGCAGGTGTCCCAGTGATCCCCTCTCGTTCTGGGAGGCAAAGTCCTTAGTGAAGCGAGAAGATCCACCCCTTTTGCCACATGTGTCCCTGTAATGCTCAGCCGGCTGGTTGTTTGATGCCTCGCGGTCTCTGTGCCCCCAGGTGGGGAAGGACAGGAGCCTGCGGGTGAAGGTGGTGAAGGTGCACCCTCTGGAGAAGCCGGAGGAGGACTCCGCGGAGAAGAAGCTGGAGGGTGCCTGCGACTCGCCCTCTAGTGACAAGGAGAACTCCAGCCAGGAGAACCAGACGAAGGAGCCGCCGGGCAAGGAGGAGGAGAACAGGAGAGAGAGCCTCTGTACGTGTTCCAAAGGAACATAAGTTTCAAAAGAGGTCTTCCGGACCATTTTGTGATTAGTCGCTTGTTGCTCTAAGGTTTTCATCCAAGCATTTCTTGAAAGAAGCAGGGTATCGTGTCAGCTCGAGTGTTGTGTGTCCTCTGTCCCCGTTAGGTGACCGGGCCCGTCGCTCTCCCAGAAAGCTTCCCACCAGCCTGAAGGAGGAGAAGAAGAAGTGGGTCATGCCAAAGTTCCTGCCACACAAGTACGATGTCAGGCTGATCACTGAAGACAAGGTGAGGGATGAGGCTGGCTGGGGCGGACCACCATAGTCATGATAGTCTTCGCCTGTAGAATTGAAACTAAACTGTAAGACAGGTTTAATTATTCAGGCATAGAACAGTGCTGTGCTTGTCAGTGCAATACATTTTACCACTCTTTACCAGTGCAGCTCCATTTTTACAGATTCTCATGTGTGGACGTGTCCAACAGTGGGGTATTTTTCTAGGTATGGCAAATTATTGCTTGAGTCCACAACAGCACCGTCTTGCCTGTTGTTTTGTGAGTCTCTGATCCACCTGGTGCTTAGCTGTTTTTATAACAATATCTGGTAAGTAGATGAAAGTAAACAAATCAGAGGTATCAAATTCAGTTGCAGTAGTTTTGCAGGCTGATTTCCTACAAAAAACAAAAGATGTTAGAAGTGCCAAAGCTGTCCCGTCCCTGTGACGCTCCGTGATACTTTCGCCCCTGCATGTGACGACCTTTCAAGGCTCTTCTGGAGACCCGTGATCTTGAGATCCTTGTCGTTCTGCAGGTCATCAGCAATGTCCCTGCTGACAGCCTTTTCCGCACGGAGCGACCCCCCAACAAGGAGATCATGCGATACTTCATCCGACACAACGCCCTGCGCCTGGGCACAGGGGAGAGCGCCCCCTGGGTGGTGGAGGACGAGCTGGTGAAGAAATACTCTCTGCCCAGCAAGTTCAGCGACTTCCTGCTGGATCCATACAAGGTGTTTACCCACGCTAAATGACTGTACCGCGGGTTTACTGAGCACAGTACTGTCGGTCACAAGCAGTGTTTGTGTTTTGGAAAATGCCAGATTCATTGACCCTTGTCTGTTCTGCAACGTCCTTGACTTTGTCTTCCTTTTTCCCCTGGCAGTATATGACCCACAATCCCTCAACCAAGCGTAAGAGTTTGAGCTCCCCAGACAGGAAGCCCTCCAAGAAGCTCAAAACAGCCGAGTCAGGAGGAGACTCGGACGTGCTGAAGGAGAAAGGAGACAAAGAGAAGAAGAAGAGGAAAAAAAACCCACTCGCTCCCCCCCTAAGCCCCACACTGTGGAGTCATGTGCAGGTGAGGCTGACTGTTCCTCCGGCTTCTGTCGAGAGGAGGAGTGTGAAAACATCAACAAACAATTACTTAAGTTTTAATGCCCTTGTTTAATGGCCACTCTGCAGTGGTTTTGTAGGTCACCTCTTCAGCTGATTAAGAACTACTGTTTAAGTAAGTCCAGGTGTGGAATTAATTTTATTGAAAACTAAAATGTAGTTCTTGTTACAAGTAACACGAGTCCATGGCCATATAGCCATTCCTCTACAGAATATAGACAGAATAGACTTCACCTTGAGACTGAATTACAAGAGCTTGTGTTTGTTTCTTGCTCTTTCTCCCCTGCCTCCAGATGAAGAAGGTGAATGGCTCTCCTCTGAAGGTGAAGAACTCGGGGACCCCCAAGAAACCGAGCTCGGATGGGGAGGAGGAGAACCTGGATGAGGTGATCATCGTGAACAAGTTGGGCTCCAGCTTGAGCATGGGTGGCAAGAAAGGCTCCAAGACGAACAAGAAGCCCCGAGAGAAGAAGCCGAAGGATGGCAAGCAGGCGAAGAGCAAGAAGAGTGGAGCCAAGGTCCTTAATGGCCAGAAGGCATCCAAGAAAGAAGGGAAGGGAGCCAAGAAGCCCAAGATGAAGCAGATGACCCTTCTGGACATGACCAAGAGCAGTCCGTCGCGCAGCCCGCAGAAAAGGCCCAAAAGCTCTGCAGGGGGGACGCCCAAGCTGGGGAAGCCCCTGCCGCCTATGGCCCTCCACCTCCTGCGGTACTACAAGGAAAACAAGGGCAAGGAGGACAAGAAGAGCGCGCTGTCCAGCCTCATCTCCAAGGCAGCCAAAGTCCTGTCCCCCGAGGACCGCGGCCGGCTGCCCGAGGAGCTGAGGGACCTCGTCCAGAAGCGCTGGGAGCTCCTGGAGCACAAGAGGCGCTGGGCCGCCATGAGCGAGGAGGAGAAGCAGGACGTGCTGCGCAAGAAGCGGGAGGAGATCAAGGAGAAGCTGCGGGAAAGGGCCAAGGAGCGGCGCGAGAAGGAGATGCTGGAGCGGAGGGAGAAGCTGCGGCGCTACGAGGACCAGGAGCTCACCGGGAAAAGCCTCCCCAACTTCAAGCTGGTGGACATGCCTGAGGGCCTGCCCAACGCCCTCTTCGGAGACGTGGCCATGGTGGCCGACTTCCTCAGCTGCTACTCCGGCCTGCTGATGCCCGACGATCAGTACCCCATTACCGCCATGGCCCTCATGGAGGCCCTGGTAGCAGACAAAGGAGGCTTCCTATACCTGAACCGCGTGCTGGTGATCCTGCTGCAGACGCTGCTGCAGGACGAGCTGGCTGAGGGCTACAGCGAGCTGGACATGGTCCTCTCGGAGATCCCCCTCACCCTGCACTCCGTGTCCGAGCTGGTCCGCCTCTGCCTGCGCCCCTGGGACGCCCAAGAAGAAAGCGCTCAGGGCTCGGAGGAGTGGGCCCTGGGGGGCTTCGACGACGTGGTGAGCAACGAGTTCCTGGAGAAGCTGGAGACGGCGGAGGTCTTCGAGCTGACGTCCCAGGAGAAGGTCAGCCTGCTGGTGGCGCTGTGCCACCGCATCCTCATGACCTACTCGGTGGAGGACCACATGGAGGCCATGCAGCAGCACTCGGCGGAGCTGTGGAAGGAGCGGCTGGCGACGCTCAAGGAGGTGAACGACCGCAAGAGGGCCGAGAAGCAGCGGCGCAAGGAACAGATGGAGGCCAAGGGGGCGGCCGAGGGCTGGGTGAAGGTCGAGGGCGGAGGCAGCGCCACCCCGGTCTCCTCCGCGGCGAAGCCGGAGAAGAAGAAAAGCCAGACCTCCGAAAAGAAAGAGGCTGGCAAAGGGAAAGCCGAGCCTCCGCCTGCCGAGCCTGAGCCGGAGGACATGATCAGCACGGTGAAGAGCCGGCGGCTGATGGCCATCCAGGCTAAAAAGGAGAAGGAGGAGCAGGAGAGGCAGAACCGGGGTAAGGAGACGGGCTCTGGGGGGAGGGGTGCAGGGCTGCATGGAGAGTCCTGCTGAGCTTCGCTGGCTTGTGTACAGGGGGATCTGACCTGTGTGGTGTCCAGCAGTTAACAAAGAGCCTGAGCCCGCACTGGCTAGTTTGTGTTTTGTAGTCCACTTGTTTGAGATCAAGAGCAGGCTGTGGACAGGCAGGGCTCTGCAGTCCCTGTTCCAGGCTGACAGGAGGATGTCTGGGCTCTAGGGGTTCATGAGAGCAAGCAGGCGCTCGGCTGACTTCCTTGTCTACACAGAGAGAATGGAGAAGGAGGCCGAGGAGGAGAGGATCCGAAAGCAGAAGGCCGCAGCGGAGAGAGCCTTCCAGGAGGGCATCACCAAAGCCAAGCTTGTGATGCGGCGCCTCCCGCTGGGCACTGACCGCAACCACAACAGGTCAGTGGGCCCCTCCACCTCCGTCTTGTGCTTCTGTCACTGCTCATCTCTGCTTGAAGCTGGAGTGCTGTTCACTATTGCCAAGTGTGCGCAGTACTTTTACAACTAATACCTGTCCAGTTGCAGCTCTGAATGTTGTTAAAACGTATCATGATGACAACAGGCAGTTCTGCTCATCAGAGCTTGTCAAATTGAAAAAGCTCTGGTAATTGTTTTTAAATGGGGAAATAAAACACCTGGGATCAGTGCGCTACATTTGCAATTTCTGAAATTAAACATCTGTCTTAAGCTAAATTAAGCTACTGTTAAGGCCTTTGTATTTTTTAAACTCATTCAAAGTCTGCTTTCCCGAATTTGAAAGTTTTCAAATGCAGCAGGTAGCGCTGAGATCAGGAGCGAGTGCTCAGCTGTGGCCTTAGTGCGCCTGGCAGGGAGCGAGGATGTCAGGTGTGTTGGACCCCGTCTCTCGAGCGCTGCGGTGTACACAATGCTTGTGTTCTGCTGTGCGGCAGGTATTGGCTGTTCTCCGATGTGGTGCCAGGTCTGTACATCGAGAAGGGCTGGGTGCACGACAGCATCGAGTACAGCTTCACACTTCCCCCCGAGGAGGTGAAGAAGGAGGAGCTGGACACCGAGGGCGAGGGTGAGCGGTGATCCTCATGCGCAGCGTTCTAACTGCCACTTATATAGAAGGGCCAATCTTCCTCTAAATGAGTTCTGTGTCTGGCTCCTGCTGTGGTCTTCACACTAAACCCCAGCTCACCTTGCAGGCCAGTATTCTTTTGTTTCATGCAGTTTTGAATTCTGAGCTTTCAAGATGCTGTCAGACCTACTCAGAGGAACAGCTCAAAACGGAACTTGATTTCAGCCTCTGGACCGCCATGTGAGTTTAACCTGCTTTGTTAATCGTTGCAGTTGAAAAAGAGGAGGAAGATGGCACGGAGAGCACCTTGAGCGAAGCTGGCCAGCAGGGGGCGCTGGCGAATCCTGAAACCTGCATAGAGACGACCGTTCCCAAGCAGGGGCAGAACCTCTGGTACGGCGCTTACCATTTGAGTTGCTCAGACAACAAGATGGCCTAGCTTTCCTTTCCAGGTTTCAGCTAGTGTTGAAGGAAAGCACACACTGGGAAAGGAACATACAGGGAGGATCCTCTTACAGTTTACACCTTCTTGAGTTTACCAGATTTACCACCTACACGATGTGTTACAAAGTTCTCCTGCTGTAGTGTAAGGCATTATCAGGGCAATATTATAAATGCCTTTAAATATATGAAATGCTAAAAATGTAAAAACTATTATCCATTTTCAGCTCTCTAGAGATTCTTATTTTTATACCTGTAATGAAAAAACAGAAAAAATTAAGTATAAAGAAATGTGACACATTCAGAAAGTCCGATCTCATGCGTAACTGTTAAGGATATAGTTAACGTTGCTCCTTTAAGAGCACTTAGCGCTTCGGGGAGGTGCTAGTTGAGAACGAATTTCCTTGACGGTCTGCTTGAGGTTGCTAGGTGACGAGGTGCCATAAGAGGAGTCCATCTCCTCTGTGACAGCTGGCATGCTGGGCGTGATGAAAATAAATGCCATGCCTCGGTACTCGTTAATTTGTTTGGAAGTCAAGATTTTCCTGTTGTTTTCAGCATTTGGCTAGGCCAGGGACCATGCAGGAGAGAAGCATGACTGGCAATGAATTTCCTAGATTCCAGATGTGGTCAAACCAGGAATGTGCTAGAATGTCCTCAAGCCATTTCCCTGTTCTGTACTGCCCGAGTGCCGGTGGGCGTTGTGCCCGTGTGGGCAGTGTTGAGATGGTCTCCCTCTCTCCCAGGTTCCTGTGCGACACGCAGCGGGAGCTGGACGAGTTAATCGACAGCCTGCATCCTCAGGGCGTGAGGGAGAGTGAGCTCAAGAGCCAGCTGCAGGCCAGGTGAGTCCCGCAGGTGTGCCCGGGCGGCGGTCTCTTTCCCTGACAGGATAGCGTGTCGTGCTGCCAGTTCTGGGCTGGCTCGCTAGGGATGTGCAGTTCTTTATAATTTAGGTTGGTTCACTTTCTGGTCAGTTTTATTTTAAAAAAATGCAATTTTTTCTGGTTTTTCTTTAGCGATGGATATAATATGATGTTTTCAAAGACCATAACTTGCTGCAAAGAAAGTATTAATAAATGCCGAGTTTGAAATTAACAGTAAACATTTTGATTATGGGGATAAAGAGAATTTAATTGTTATGTATCGGTTGTGTTCACAAGCATTGTGGTTGGCATGTGTGGTGGGCTTCTTTGTGAATTATAAAGCAAATGATAAAAACTGAAACCCCGCGTGTGTTCGAGTCCGGTTTGATTTGATTTCAAGCTGTCGGGCAGTTGAACAGCACATCTCTGTTGAGGTGCTGCCGCCGGGGGAGTGGTCAGGGCACAGGGGTGTGCGACTGACCGAATACCCGTCTCTGCCCGCGCCTCCCGTCCGCCAGGTACCAGGAGGTCGTGCACTCCATCTACCTGGCGCGCCGGCCCAACCTGGGCCTGAAGACGTGCGACGGGCACCACGAGCTGCTCAAGTTCCTGCGCAGCGACATCATCGAGGTGGCCTCGCGACTGCAGAAGGGCGGCCTGGGGTACATGGACGACACCAGCGAGTTCGAGGAGAGGGTGAGCCGGGGGCGATGGGGGGCTGCCCGGGAGTATTCGGGGATACTCCCCCTGGGGGGACAGTTTCGTTAGAAACAGCCTGAGAGTGGTTCACTCCCGAAGAAGTCTCCACAGCCGAAACGTTGTTTCCTTTCTTCTCTTTTCGGTGTGGAATAAACTTTTACATATTTCTGCTAAGATATGCCATCCAGATGCCGTCTTACAGATTGCATGGATTGAATGTTCAGGCGGTCCTGGGGTGGACTGAGGTCTGACTGCCGTGTGTCGCTGACATTCCCTCGACCCCCCAACTCCAGGTGCGTTCCTTGGAAAACCTCAAGGACTTCGGGGAGTGCATCATCACCCTGCAGGCGAGTGTCATCAAGAAGTTCCTGCAGGGCTTCATGGCCCCCAAGCAGAAGAAGAAGAGGAAGCAGGGCGGGGAGGAGAGCAGCAAGGCGGAGGAGGTGGACGAGGAGAAGAGGCTGGCCGAGGAGGCCAGGGTGAGTGACCCGTCGCCTCGCGGCTCAGCGCACAGCAGGCACAGGGGTGCCCGCCCAGCTGGCCCGAGGGCTTCAGCTTCAGCAGCACGGTCCCGCTCCAGAGCAGGAGAGCCAGTGTTGAGCCCAAGAATAGTGTACAGATCTTGCACGTCAGACAACGGGGAATCCAAAGCAAGTACATTCTTTAAAAGTTTCAGTTGTATGTAATTTAATGTGGTTGCGTTCTTAGAGACTACATAGAGCAAAATGTCAATCGTTTTGCATGCTTCATTTCAGACTTGTGTTTTCGCATTTGAAATAGTCTTGAATTCTGTGGGGCTGTTTCTGTTCTGCCACCTTGAACAAGCTTGCTCCAGTGCGGAGCGCCTCCTGCTGGCCGGAGCAGTGCTGTGTCTCTAAGCGAGTGCGCTCCTGTCTCTGTCCGCGCTGCAGGTGGCCACCGCTGTGGAGAAGTGGAAGACCATGATCCGCGAGGCCCAGACCTTCTCTCGGGTGCACGTGCTCCTGGGCATGCTGGACGCCTGCATCAAGTGGGACATGTCGGCGGAGAACGCTCGCTGCAAGGTCTGCCGCCGGAAAGGTAAGAGGGTTGTCTGAGGAGCTCGTTTCTCTGTTTCGCACACCCAGAGAAGGGGATTGCTTTCTGCCAGGTGAAAGTTGTCTGAATCCCAGTGATTGATTCTGTCCTGTGTGCCAGATTCATATCGAGACGCTCTCTTTGTATGCTTGTTGTGCATAGCCCTACCGGCATGTCTCCCGTGTGCTGGACTTTACCCAGCCTCGTTAGTAACCTGGTCACTTGAGCAATACACTACAACTCAACAGTATTGATGGAGAGAAACCACAAGGCCTTTGAAGCTGTGAGAGTGCAGTATTTCTAAATTGGCAAAGGAATGGCAGTTCCTTGTGTAATGGAGCACAGAGAACAGAGGGTGCTTTTTCAGTTGACTTCTATCTTATTAAAACAGTGCATCAGCCTCCATGGGCTCAGTTGAAGTTTCTTGCTTGCAGTGTAAAGTCTTGCTGTCCTGTATGACCAGTGTTTCCCAGTAACTTGTATGTGCTGCTGTAGGTGTTTGATCTGTGATGCTTCCAGAGGTTTTGCTGCCTTTACCCCTTTCAGTGCCTTTTCTTCAGGGTGTCGGAAGTCTCCAGCCCAGCCCTCGCTCGCCAGGAGCTCAGCGCCGCGCAGTATCCATAGACTGAGGTTTAGTGTCAGGGAGGCTGTAGTGCACCTGGAGCCCTGTGTACTAGACCGGCCCGCTGCAGTTAGAGTAGGAGGAAGAGGGCGTCCTGAGAAAGGAGCAAAGAAACAAGGTATTTTAGACAGCAAGCCAGGGACTGCAGATCTCGAGACCACTTAACTCCACTCTGAGGAGCCTGCAGGGAAAGCAGAGGATCCATCCCTGGAATACTGCCCCATCGGTGGAATTGTTCTTAAAAAGGAATACTCGTTGCGTCTGGGAGCAAACCTTATTACCATGTGTCAGGTTATTCAGTCCGTTGGAGTTTTCTTATTCAGCGCCACTTGTAATTCCATCATTTGTCGTTTGTATGATGGTATTTACATTCGTTTTTAGATGTTCTCAGAACCAGGAAATTTGCTCTCCCTAAACGATCCAGCGCCAGGGAGGGTCTGTTTGACTGTGTTCCTGTGGCCGCTGTGTTGGCCATCGCCATGTTCCCCCTGCTGGCAGCACTGGGCTGCTGGGGACGGTGGAGGCTGGGAGAGGGGGAACTTTGGGTGCCAGGGAGTGCTTGCTCTAACTGCTGTGACAAGAGCTCACCCAGCCTGTTCTCTCCCCCAGGTGAGGATGATAAGCTGATCCTGTGTGACGAGTGCAACAAGGCCTTCCACCTGTTCTGCCTCCGGCCCGCCCTGTACTCCATCCCCGATGGAGAGTGGCTGTGCCCAGCCTGCCAGCCCGCCATGGCGCGGCGCTGCTCCCGGGGCAGGTAGGCACCTCTGCACTGCACTGTTGATCTTGGGCTTCAGGGCAGTGCTGGCTGAGCACCAGGCAGCGTAGTCTCACTAGTAAGGAATCGAGAAAGACACCGACTTCCCTCTGTTAACCTGCAGGACACTGGTGATCTGTTTACTGACAGGCAGAATGTGTGTCTCAGACCCCTCATTTCAGGACCAGATGTACAGATTAGTTTTCCTCATCCTTATTCGATCAGAGCCCGTGACGTTCTGAGGAGCTGCAGGGCTCTGCGTGTTGTTGAGATTGACGGAGTGTTTTCCTTGGGAGGCTACGGCACTGGCTCTGCTGCCGCCTCCGCAGGCTCCTGCTCTGCTGGTCGCCACCTTGTTTTCAGGCCACTGATGCTTTTCCTTCCTGTTTTCTTTCTTTCTTGCTTCTGCCATGTGTTAGAAATTACAATGAAGAGACCGAGGAGGAAGATGAAGAGGAGGAGGAGGATAATGAGGAGGAAGAGGACGAGGAAGAGGAGGTGTCAGATGATGAAGACCGGCCCATTGGACTGAGCTGTACGTACTCTTTCTTTTCAAACAGTTTAGATAAGATAAGATCACTTTATTAGCCATATACAATTTCTTGCATTAGGAGTTTGTCTTTTCGCATACCCCAACAGACACACAGACGGGGAGAGAAGCTTGGGGTCAGAGCGCAGGGTCAGCCATTGTACGGCGCCCCTGGAGCAGTTGGGGTTAAGGGCCTTGCTCAGGAGCCCAACGGAGTAGGATTCCTCTGCCGGCTGTGGGATTTGAACCGGCAACCTTCTAGCCACAGGCGCAGATCCTTAGCCAGAGTGCAACCCCTCCGTTTTTCCTCAGAATTGAGCACTTAGCCTAATAGTTTCATACAAGTTCAACAGAGAGAGGTTTTTGTCCATGCTTTGTGAAAATTCAGTTCTCCTCCCCTCCCCCACAAGCTTTTTGAGGGTTATTTTCAGTTCTGCGGCCTCTCTGGTGTCACTGGAGTGACAGCCGAATTAGGAGGCTGATAAACGGACTGCTGCTGGGGGAGAGCAGTTTTCCCCCAGCCCCCCTCTCAGCTCGCCAGAAGATCTGGGGCGCTAATGAAACAAAAGAGGCCTCCATGACTGCCGAGCAGGCTGAGCTCCTCGTAAAGCAATGACGAGCAGTCTTGACATGTGGACAAAAGTCTGCTGTCGCGCTGGGACTGATCTGTGACAGGCCCCGCCCCTCACTAGGTCAGTGGTGCTTCAGGGGGAGGGGCCTGATACAGGAGGGGGATGATGTCATGTAAGGGGAGTGGCCTTAAAAGCGTGCAGAGGTGCGAGCCATGAAGACTGAAACAGTTGACTGCAAATGTCTTGTGCAGGGGGATAGGGAATGGTTGCAGTGTGTGTTCGGAAGTTCGCCCCTTTTTTCCATCTTACATCGTCAAATTCAAACCATGTCTTTTCTCATCAGATGAGTGTGCGTCACACCGCTTCTCGGATCTCTGAATGCCCAAGCTTTACCACGCGGTCAAGTGAAGTTCTTGTTGCCAAACGTGGGCGTTTTCCAGGAACACTGAGTCATGCTGCCCTCTTTTTTCACACTACTGCTCATCCCACTGTGATAGACTGTGTTCTGCTGCCTACCCCTCAGATTAATGAGCCTTCTACCCATCTGCTCTGTTCTTTATCCACTGGCCCACACCATATCCTAAATTGGCATTTTTACTTGACGAGCTATAAGAAGTGTTGATGCATGTTTGGTGCCACAGCCTTGGGCTTGCCTGACTGGAGACCTGGGACTTGCAGACATGAAAGGCTTTTGAAAGAAAGTGTCAGATGGGTGATACCCTGGGGGTTTACTCTCTTGTGATTTAGAGGTAGGATCAAGCTCTGTTATTCCACCCTATGTGTACACATGAAGTTAAGAATTTAGAAATTACTGAGCCGCTTGAAATAGAGGGATGACATTTAGAAACAGTAGCTGAGCTTGCCAGGGTACCGGTTTTCGAATCCCTGCTCTTCTGAAGAGTGCCTTGGGAATTTCAGTGTGTTAGGACCTCAGCCGAACACTTAACCTCCGTGCGTTCTAGCTTGTTTTAAATTGACCATTATTTCTAACCCTGAACTTCTGAACAGCTGGAAGAAAAAGAAGGAGAAAAGGCGGAGGCAAATAGCAGTTTGTGTTTTCAAGGAAGTGAAGACGGGCCGTGTGTGCGCAGGTGCGTGCTGGCCTGACGCCTGCCTGTGTGTTTTGCAGTGAGGTCTCGGAAGGCCGCCAAGGGCAAGCAGTGTCCGCGCCTGAAGCAGGGCGGCAAGGCCGCGGCCACGAAGAAGCCGTCCCCCCGCAGCGGCCGGCAGAAGGGGCTCAGCAGCCCGGCCGACATCGACGAGCTGGTGAGCACCTGCCTCCTGGGGCCGGCATGGCTTGTTTTTCACTCTTCCCCCCCTCGAACCTCACGCCAGGCACGCTGCCACTGCCCAGACGAGTCAGCGCTGAGCTTCACGGGGGAAAGGGCCTGGCTTAGCGGCCCCCCCTCCCTCCCTCCCTCGTCCGCGAGCAGGTGGCGCCTGTCCTGCTTTCATCAGAGCGGCTCGCCTGCTGCACACGCGTCGCCAGGCGGAGGTCCTGCTGGCGGTGCCCGCTGGCTCCCCCTTCTCTCCCGCAGGCCCAGGGTGCAGCCGCTTGCCAAGTATCTGCGGCATCTTCATTAGAGGCCCCGCGCACTTTGTCTCCTGATTACCAGATGACCCAGGGCTTGTTCGGAGCGGGCGCGTGTGGAGTGGAGTCGGTGTGGCGCTGGCACAGCTCTGGTCTCATTAAGCGTCAGAATGCCAGCTATGTGCCTGCCTGCTGCCTCCTGGGCTGAGCTGGCATCCGACACCCCTTGCAGTCCGCCGGGGAGAGAGAGCAGGGACGGGGTGTATCGGAGAGTCTCTGTGCAGTGACCTTCTCCCTGGGACCGAGACCCAGAGCGAGCAGGAGACGAGAGGCTCTTTATGTGTAGGAATCTTAGCTGATGTGTTCTTGGCGGTTTCTCTTGTCCATTTATAAAGCCAGGTTTAAAGGAGCCAGCACAATTTGCAGAAATGGTCAATTAAGATGAGCCAACACACTGGTACACTGATTTTAAAATCGTTTCGTTAATGACTTCTGACCTTAATGCACTGGTGAACATGGTTGGAATATTTCTGAATGCTCCAACTGGAATAACAAATTCCAAATTCTACAAAAAATGGAGTCTGCACAAAGTAACGGGACACAGCCTGGAAAAGGCTGAGAAAAGGTGGTTTTCCTGGATGTGTATGATGTGCGGCTTGTTACAGCATGACTTTGAAATAGGAGGATAGGAATAGAAATGATGGAGACATTTCTGGATAAAACAATAGTGCCTGCTGTTCTTCATGTGTATCAGTATGAATGATTCTCCGTTACAGAGGGCGTGTCAGTTTCTTGATGGCGAGTTGCTACAGCACTCTTATAGCAGCTGCTCCATGCTGATAGCTGGTCCCTGCTGATGTGTGTCCCCTCTCTCCCCCTCCAGGTGCGCCAGAGCTCCAGGCAGGGCATCAGCAGACAGGCCCTGGAGCTGGAGAAGTGTGAGGAGATCCTCTGTAAACTGGTCAAGTTTCGCTACAGCTGGCCCTTCAGGTGTGTTATTTTTAGGACTTCTGATTTTTATTTTTGACCAGGTGATGCCTCACTAGGTTAGTTGCTCTTAATTTTGTTTTGATTGAACTTAATGCTTTGCTTTACACGCACAGTATTGATCAACCCATCTGACTGGCATTCCTTCACCCCAATAACCTAATCAAGCCTCCAGCACGTTTGCTGGTTTGTTTTTGCATTTTTTTTATAGAAATAGCATTTAAAAAATGATTTGTAGTAAGCATCCCAGATGGGCCAATTTCTGAGAGGTGTGGTTTCCACTCATGTTCCAAAAGCCGGTTGGCCAGGTGTGGCAGTGAGAGTGATGGGTGCTGTCCTTCTCTCCTTGCGCCCCCAGAGAGCCGGTGTCTCCCGAGGAGGCGGAGGACTATCTGGATGTGATCTCTCAGCCCATGGACTTCCAGACCATGCTGCGCAAGTGTGCCGCTGGGCAGTACCGCAATGGCTGCGACTTCCTGGAGGACATGAAGCTGGTCTTCTCGAACGCCGAGGAGTACAACCAGCCTGGCAGCACGGTCCTGTCCTGCCTGGCCAAGACGGAGCAGTGCTTCACAGACCTGCTGCACAAGCTCCTCCCGGGGCTCAGCTACCTGCGCCGCCGGCCGCGCAAGAGGGGCGGCCGCGACCCCGCCCAGGGCGAGGAGCAGGAGAGCGAGGCGGAGGCCGAGGCGGAGCTCGGGCGCCGGGCGCGCCACAGCAAGCACAGCAGAGCCGACAGAGGGGAAGGCGAGGAGAGCGGGAGGAAGGCGAGGCAGAGCAGGCGCAAGGCCAGCGAGGAGGAGAGCGAGGAGGAGGAGGAGGCCTGTGTGGGGAGGAGGAAGAGCCAGCGTGCAGCCGCCACCTCCGGCAGGAAGGATTACAGGGAGCAGGATAGTGACAGCGAGCAGGAGGGCAGCAGGTGGCGCAGGGCGGCGGCCAGGAGGAGCAGCAAGCTGGAGCAGGACGACGAGGAGGAGGAGGAGGAGGAGGGCAGCGGGGAGGAGGAGGAGGAGCAGGAGAGCCGGAGAACTCGGTATGGCAAACGGGGCGCTCAGGGAGACAGCAGCGATGAGGACAGAGGCAGTCAGCGACATTCCAAACGGCAGAAACGCACTGTGTGAAAGTCAGTGCCCAGGGGGAGGGGAGGGTCTGTTCTCGTTATTTTGACATCTTATATTTACATTTTGTTTTTCCAAATTCTTCCCTTATTGATTCAGAATTTACACCCATGGCTACCTGACTGGATTGTCAGTTGTTTTTTCGTTTTCTTATGTTCATATTTTGGAAAAGATTTATATTCATAGCCTGTTTATGGGTGACTTGTTTTTCGACCAGAAGGAAAAGAGAACTCTTCAAAAAGGACACCTAAGGTCTCGTAAAAGGACTCGTACAGGTCTTTCCCCCACCTGAGATTCAGTGACATAAAGATTAAAGCTGAACTGCTTGTGATTTGGCTTCTCTGTGTCGGTCGGCCGGTTCCTGGGGTTGATGTCTTTGTTGCGGAGCACGGAGAGGGGTGGGAGGGAGCTGCTGGAGGGGGTGCCGGGTTAAACAGCTGCGAGGAAAGAGTGATATTAGCAGCTGTGAGGAACTATGGTACTCTTTATTTTTATTTGCCACGCGAGACTCCCAGCGTCGGCGGCCAGTCTCCTGGCTCCAGCTGTGATTGCTCTTCTGGGCTCAAGTGCAGTACAGGAGCAGGTGGGGTGATAAATGTAGATTTTATTTTCCCTTATTGAGGTTTTACCCCTCTACTCCTAAAGCTCTCCCTTCATGTCGGGGGGGGGGGATAATCTTTGGATTATCTCGTGCTGAACCCCGATGATTGAAGGGTGCCACCCTAAAAGAAAGTGCCGCCCGCGGGGATGAGAGTTCCAGCACAGCCCCAGTCTCTTCATGTGATGCTTCATCATCTTTCCGTGCAGCGTGATGGAGGCAGGCGTTTTAACTTCAGTTTTGTAAATGAAGCCGTATTTAGCAAGAGGTACAACCGAAGCAAAAAAAAGGATGACAGGTGACTGCTTCTGGACCGCAGATCTTCTGAACACAGATGCTGTGCTGAAAGCAACAGAGCAGGATTCGACAGAAGAAACGACTGTCCTCCGTTTATCCAGGGATGCCACGCAGAATTAAGAACAGCCTTCCTCCTCCTATCATGCGTGAGGTGCAGAGTTTCTGAGCTGTCACAGCGGCTACAGGAATGTGGCGAGACATGAGCATGGAGCTCTGAAACAGGAGAGTCGAGGTTAATTTGCTGCTGGAGCTGCCCTGCTGCAAGGAGAAAACACCACCCTCTGGACTCCACTAGCTACTCAGTGTTAACAGCAGCACCGGTAGAAAAATATGCATTTGTTTAAAAAGGTGGGGAGGAGTATAGTTTTGGAGTGCAATGTCTAATAGGGTCTTCTATATACGCTCTTTGGCAAGTCTTTCTTAAGGTTGAATGATCAGTGTATATGTGTATTGCTATTTTATTCTTTCATATGTAGATTTCTATTCATTGTCCCCCAGCAAGTTTCCAGACTGCCCTGAAAGGATCTTTTGAGCTACTTATCTGGAGAGAGCAGCACTTGAATTTACTAAGAGGTGTGAAAAGCACAAGTTTTTTTATTATTATGTTGAAAACTTAGTTTATGCAGTCAAGCCAAACTGTTGAAATAAACATTTTTCCCCTATTGAAATAAGTCGCTTATTTCTCTGAAAAATGCTTGCTGAACCTCCCCTGAAGTCTGGGCCTTGCAAAGCTGTGCTTGTTTGCGAAACTTGCAATTTTGATCTCTGGCCCAGTATTCAAACAAAACAGTGATCTGCCCCATCGGAGTAGAAACATGATGTTTGGACTTTGCAGAAGGCAGACAGGTCCCGTTTTCTTTTTGGCTGGGCCCTGATCTCTAACTGCAGATATGTTTGATGTGCAGATGGTGTCGTCTAGATGGGTAGAAGGAATGTAGCTACTTCAACACCCAGTGATGTTTGTAAACCTAGCCAACCTCTTAATTGCCCACAGCCTTTTCCCGCACTGTGGTGTGTTAACAGTGCCGAGGTATAGTCTAGAAACCGGAGATCAGGTTTTTTTAAAGGGCTGCGATATTGCTGAAATTGAACACTTGTTGATAAGTAGTGCAATCATGACCTTTTTGAAGAAAGATTGTTAACAGTGTTCCCTGGGGGGTTGATTTTATTTCATATTCCAGCAATGATTCAAGTTTGGTAAACTGGTTAATAAGAGAAAGCCATACCGGTGTATTGGCAGCATCTCTTACTTTGGGGTTGTATATTCATGCCAAGTACCTTTCAGAACAACATGGTGAAACTTGGATGTTTTTGCCTTTGGCTATCCTCTCAAGCTATGTGAAACCAGCAAACTCTTTCAGACCTGGGCAGCAGGAGTCGACCTGTGGAAATTGACCTATAAGTGTTCCAATCTGAAGATCAGCAGGGTTAATTCCTGCACAGTTGGCAGTCTTCCTTCTCAACCCTTGGCTGTAGAAGTTGGCACAGGGACCATGGTGCATTTTGCCAGTTTTGTTCACAAATGAAAGTACCAGACAATTTTTTTCATGTCTATAAATAAACCTACTCTGATTTATCCAACTGTATTACGCAAAAATGAATCCAAACTGATTTTACACATATACTGGATTCAGACTGTAGTTTTCTTAGTGTTCTTGCAATGGAAAATGCAGTGACTTGCTGTTCAGGTCTGCAGGTTGGGCACACTGGATATTCCTTTAGTTCAGTCCCAACAGCGTCATAAAGACTTGTCCAAGATCAGAGCCGTTTGCTATTCACTGATTTCTACCTTGCCCAGGTTCTGTTTACCCTTCTAGTGTGATTGCCCAGTGTGAGGTTCTTGCAAGTCTTTATGTAACCAGTGGGTGTCGCTGGTGGTCTACTGTGCTTCACCTTGGAGTGCTGTCATCTGCAAAGGGACTCTGGTCTCATTCTGGAATCGGTCCTCCTCCTGTCCTTGCTCGAGTCTGCAGAATCACCAGCCCAGGCCTGACACCAGCACACCGAGACAGGAGAAAGATACGCACTGGCCGCTGTTTTTTTACGTATTGCAACTCGGTATGTGTTTTTAAAATATATATATTCCCCCCCCCCAGAAAAGGATTTCTTGTGGCATACTCTGCTTTAAGGTATGCAAATATCTTCCTGTGTTGGGTTATTTTTCAAATGAAGTGGACAGTGGTGTACAGAGAACGTGTTTTTGTTTTAAATCAAAGCAGTTGGTCTCTTTTCCAGTGTTGTACAGAACCTCACCTGAAGAGGCTGCTCTAATGTGCTATTTCAGGCCGATCCACGACCCTCGCTCCCTCATTTGCCTCTTTTCCAGCGGTCAGCATCCCCCCCCAAAACCAAACCGTCTCTTGAGTTTTTATCCTACCTTCCTGTCGGGCTCCTGTCCCGCCTCCCCCCCTCCACACGCCAGCACCCCTTGGATTCTGTATCCGAAAGCCTTTTTTTTTAAACAATTGTGCTTTTCTGAGATCCTGTCAGAGCCTTGTCCTGACAAGTCTGTGATTGTTCGCTACCTAAAGCCAGATCCAGATGGGTTTTTTTATTTTGTAAAAAAATATCTAAAAGGCAAAAAAAAGATGATCAGACTTTAGTTTTACCACCTGGGTGTCAGCTGTTGTCTGCCCTCGTTTCTGTTCTTGTCCTCAGGATGCGGCAGTCTTGTGGTGGTGTGATTTTTTTTATGGGTTTAAGGAGGCGAGGGGGTGGGGCGAGGGGCTTTCTTGTAATAAATTCCTAATAAAGATTATGCATTTGAAGTGTAGATTGTTGTTGTGTTCTGTTCTGTTGTGGCTCCTTTCTCAGGGTCCTCCGCAAGGTGGTGGCGCTCTGACAAGCCCGCGGCCACCGGCTTCCTGTGTGACGAATCACTCTCGCGATTTGAGGATAGGACCTCCTGATAGTCTTTGAATTGCACTGTAAGCTAAACTACTGTCCAAGTTGTCCAAACCACGTTACCATTTAATTCCTTTCACCTCATTAGCTCTGTTGATTTAGTGGAGCCAATTTTGATCAGGCATGGGCCCACCTGCAAGGGCTAATCCCCCAGGCTCTCAGCCCCATGGTGGGAGAACTGGGAACACTGGTTTCAGTTTGCAAGTATGCATATTAGCCTACAGAGCTGACCAGTTGCCTTTCCTTGAACCCATAGCCAACCCAGCCACCCTACCCTGCTGCAGTTACTTTAAAGATGTTTCCCCATTGCTAACTATGGGTAGTTTGTGTTCCTGGTTTTCCAGGAGCTGTCATTTTTTTATTGGATTCTGTAATCTCATCTTCTCTTTCATTAAAATGAATGAAAAGGAATGACCACAAATATAGCAGTCAGCATGACCGTACAGCAGCTGGACGCAGGAACTACCTTTCCCCAGAGGACTCTTAGTGTAACCACACTGCATGCAGACTTCAAGCATCTGTGCAGAGCAAAGCCGGTGGTATTTCTTAATGACGCCGATGCGATGTGCTCTTCATTATAGACGCAGCCCCCGGTGCCAGTTCCTGTTGACACAAAATATATCGGAGCCCTGTAGTGCGCTACAATGAGGCACTGATAGAATTGCAAAACAAGCTTTTCAGTTTTTTCCTTTCAAAGAAATGAACTGTTACAGCATTTTTTTTCCTGTCTGTAATTAGTAAAAGCTGAAAAAGATCCGTGTGAGTTTTGCAGGTGTGTATGTCCTCCCCCAGCAGGCTAAAGTACAGGGGAGGGATTTCTGGGAAAAAACGCACCTGAAGTGGCCGTTGCTGCCCTTTTGGACCCTTCCCCACCCCCCGCCCCCCCATGTGCTCAGGGCACCTGTCTGCTGTTCGACAGGCAGGAGGTCATGGCCGTCACCAGGTGAGCTCTCACCTTTATTGCAGCCCCTGGCATTGATCTGTTTCCACCTGGCAGCGGCTCAGACAGACAGCAGCTGGCGAGTCCCTGAGGCATCACTGTTGTCCTTGTTTTATTACCTGGGACTTGCACACAAAATTGCCTTTATGCCCCATTTTTAACTGCAGCTCTGGCTGCTGTGAAGGCAGTTCTCTTTCATGTGCAGTTTAATTTTCCCAGGAGAAGCACCTGTGTTTCTGTTCAGTTTCGCCTCAAGGGGTTTGAGTGGGAGCTGTGCCAGAGCCCTCTCGCTTTGCGGGCGCTGTTCCTGCAGTGTGAAGCGCTCAGATGAGCTCTCCGCTGTGATCGCCATGCAGCCAAATGCAGCTCTCAGCCCTGCTTCAATCCAAGCCACCCGCCCACTTGCTTCACACGAAGAGCATGTTTGCAATTTGAACTGAGCGAGTGGGTTAACATTCGGGTTCTTCTGCATCCTGTTTGAATGGCTATGCAACAGTAGTCCAGTCACTCTGCCATTTTTTTTACCATTACCTGATCACTTCTTCACCCTTGTTTCAACTGCAGTTTTCCAAGTTGTTTGCTTTATCCAAGA